CTTTATTAGGAAATGACAGGCGAGGTGTCCGTGGTAGAATCATTTGTATAGCATGCGTACACTCTTTCGTTATGTGGTTTGCTTTTCCGCGCCGAAAGCATATTACTTTTTGGTTGAAATTAGGTTTAAAACTTGATTTATAATTATTAAGAATATAGTAATTATGATGGTTGAATTTGTTAGCATTATAATTATAATTATTATTAAATTTATTAACGTTAATAAAATTATTATTTCCAAAATAAGTATTTTTATGACCTTTTGTAGGCTTATGTTTATTTATTTTAATAACTTCTGCCTGGGCTTCCTTCTCCAATTAAGACAGCGCGATTGCTAAACGAACAGTATCTTCAAAAGTGATATTTCCTTCGGTATATTTTGACCGAAGTTCTTTGTCTAGCTCAGGCAACCCTACTCCTAAGATAAAAATTTCTCTTAAGAGTTCAACCGGCGATTTAAAATTACATAAAGAACAATCATTATTAATTTGAAAGCCAGCTTATCTTCAGTTTTAGTTACTATGAAAAAGAATTTTTCAACATTCTAAAATAATAAACTTGCCTCTTTCGCAATAAATTTATTAATAATGCATTTCATTTTTTTATTGTATAATAACTACTTTTATATTCAAAATCATATGGATAATAATAGTCATGTTGCTCCAGGATTATAAATTGTTATATTATCATTATAATTATAATACTGTTTTGATATCTCTCACGAGACCATTAAAACAGGAATTTATATTAAAATTAATTTAAGTTATTTATATTATATTTTAAATGGCTTAAATAATTTTTAAAAATCATAGAAAAATTAAAGGCGAGAGCATTCTGGCGATTGAACATTCTTGATGAGTGCAAGCAGTTATCGAATATTTTTGGCACATTTGTAAAGTTTTAAAATAGTTTTTAATTTCTCCGAAATCATCAAAATTTATTTAAATTATGCATGTAAATCTGACGATGCAAATAAAATTAAAATGATGTCAGTTTTAATTATTCATAAATACTATAGCAATATTAATCATTGACGTTTTGATATTTGATTTTACAAATTCTCTCAGTAATAGTAGAAATAATTCTTTCTGCCATTCAAAATATCACGTCAAAAATGAATGGGAAATTGCTTAGAGGTGATAAGAAGCATACGATTTGATCCACCTACAATATTAGTTGATAAATATACAAATACTGACCTTTTAAAGGAGGATAAGGCTGTAAATACCACACCCAGTTTAATATTTGTACCCTCAAAAAACAAAATGTTAGAAACTAAACCAAGTAAGAAAAAGGGAGGGAACGTTTCGCCAATTAGTAATAAATCTAACTCAAATAAATCGTTCGCTAAATCTATCGTTAAAAGTAACTTGAATAAAGAATTTCTACCCAACACGAATGGACAACCATCTATAGATGCAACAACTTTCAAAGCTGGAATAGGTGTGAAAACAAATATCCCCAAAATTTTGAATTTAAATAAAACATTCACGGATCTAGAAAACAAGTCACTTAGCCGTGATTCTAAGAAAGGCGGCATCGAACCAACTTATGATCTTTTTGCAGTTCAAAAATCTTCTATGGAACATATTAAAGCAATTGAATACGATCCCATGATCCCAATCCCTCCTATTTCATTACCGCAAAATGAGGATATCGAAATTACGGCAGAAATATCGGATGATTTTGGGAATATTGAAGCTGAAATAATGGGTTTAAATAGTCGCAAGGAGTTGAACAAAAAAAAGCTTGCAGAAAGTTTTAAGCATCACACTGACGTCGAGATATTAAATGACACCAAGATAAAAAGAGATGATAAATTGAGGTCAGGAGGGAACATGAAAGCAGATGGAAACAAACAATACATGATCGCGAACAAAATTCCCATGACTGATCGCGAAATTTTAACTTTCACCCCTATCGATAAGGGTAGGTTAATAGATAATAAGGCTTCGACAGCCAAGGGCAACTTAATAGGTGTTAACAACGTATTACATGGAAATGATAAAGATGAAGAGGGTATGTTTCAAATGGAGGAACCTTCGAACATGATTAGTTCCAGTCATGAACTTTCATCGTCTCTTCCGCCAGCGCATTATATTATTAAAAAATCAAGCATTAGAAATTTACCCAAATCAGACAGCATTACTATGTTGCATACAACCGACCCCATGGCAGCTCAAATTATAAACGCAAGTCCTTCTGTGGAAAGATTCAAAGATCCTAGTATAAATTATCCTATAGGGGAGAGAGAATCAGAGAAAAAAAAGGCCGACGCTTCTTTTCTCAACAGGGATATCGACCCCAAAATTATTGTAACTCGTATAAATTCATTTTCTTTATCACCCAGTCCTTCTGCTGAACTCGCTTCACCTGATACCCTTAAGAAAAATCGTCAATCTTCTTTGGATCATAAGCCTACTCCTCAACCCCAGAATTATAATAAATATAACGAAGATCATATATTAAATGGAGTCACTGTAAAAGGTAATAAAGATCCGTCTCCATCTCCACCCATTCCACAAGGTTCTATTTTAAATCCTGATCATTATTTTATGGATATATTATATGTGGATGCGAATAAGAAATTAAGAGGCCTAAATGAGGATTCTAATTTGTCTCCGAAAGAATAATTTTTTGTAATGGTGAAGAATTTATGTTTTGTAATGGTTTTATATTATTAATTTAAAGATTCATTCATATTCATTCCAATCCCTGTAAAATAACATTAAAAAAATGATAAATTATAGTAACTTGAAATTACTTTTTTTAATTGCATATTTTTAATTAGTAAAATGGTAGGGTAAATATATTGGTAGAATCATAAAAATATCTGATATTAATGATAAGAATATTTGAAATTTATACAAAGCTCAATTTCAGCATCACATTAAATTCTCAATAACTTTCTTGAGTGCCTTACTATTTGGCTTCAAAGGTTTTATCAAATAGACAATTTACATTTATAATACGATGTTTAAAATATATAAAATATTCAAAATATGATTTCTCAAATCTCCGGAGTTTGCCAAGCCACTTAATCTCATTTTAAAATTAAATATACTAGAAGGTTAAAATTTTATCCTAATATAGCTTTTATTAGTTTACATTTATAGACTAAAATTATTTAAAATAATTCATTATTTAAATGAAATATTGATGAAATATTGATGAAATATTCAAAAGGTTTTTGTATAATTTTAATTTTTATTAATATGTATAATAATTTATATATAAATTAAGTTTTATAGCAAAATTTTAACACTCGTTCATAATTTAAGAGAGTTTTATGAGTATTTAATATGTCTAGATATTATTTCAATCATGATTAGTAAATTTAGAGCTAGCGAGGCTTGCTAAACCATATACGTCAATTCTTTTAAATGATTTTTTTTTAGTAATTTTTACATTAGATATGGTGCGAAATTACAAATTCAATAAAATTAATAAAAGTCAATCATTTTATATTAATAATTATCTAGAAGTACAGTAAAATTGATGAATTGATATTATAATATAATTAGGCTATTAAGTTATATCAAGATTGTAAATCAACAATGGTCAAAAGCAAACTTACAGGTAAATTTATTATTTTTAAGATATATTCTTTATTTAATATTTAAACAATATAATCAAATATGTTCTTATATTTTAACATATGATTGATTAAAATTATGATGGATTATAGTATTGTATTTGTTAATTGGCAGGGAAAACAAAATTAAGAAAGTGTTTTAAAATTTTTATTTTATTTATTTAAAAAATTATTTAACTGAAAATGCAATATATTTTCATGCTTATATAGTTTACGAAAAATCAATTTAATAATTTATATAATCAAACTATTATAAAATGAGTCCGTAAGGTTAATATGTAATTTATATAAACAATAAAAAAAATCAATCCATAAGGTTAATATTTAGTTATAAGATAGCGAAATAGAAATATTAAAAAAAAATCAATCAGAACATCCCAAAAGTATTATATTTATATAATTTTTAAGAATTATAAGCCCTATAAAAAAATTTATTCACTGATTTATTTTATTTAAAATTCATGTTTATATATAGAAAGCACAATATTATCAGGGTTGGGCAAATTTTTAGAAAATTGTATTAGGATACAGATACAGATACTTTATAAAATTTTGTATTTAAGATACAAGATACTTTAGAAAAATTTCACAAGATACTTGTATTTTTTTTAAAAAAAAAGTATCTAAGATACAAGATACTTTTTTAAAAAACTTTAAATAGTCAAAATCAAAATGTATAAAGCTTTATTTACTTATCTATAATAGAAATTTATAAAAAAATATTTAAAATAAATTGTAGAAAATAACAAATTTATTATAAAGGATAATGCGATATTCCATTTAATAATTATATAATTAGTAAATAATAATAAATCAGCATCATAAATCAGCACTATTTTTTAATATTATGACGATTTGGTCTATTAACCATATTAGCAATGCGAAATAATCTTTCAACGGGGGCTGAGGAGGGTAATATTGTGTTATATTTAATAAATATTTCTTTTATATATTTATAACTATTTAACATATTTATACTCCGCCTGTCATCTTTCATATAATTTAGGACCTCTATTTCAATATTATTTAATGAATTATTAGAATTGGATGTGGTACTTTTAAGGCAAAAGTAATCATCATCTTCATCAATTAAAGATTTTGTTGAAGTATTAATTTCAATATTATTTTTAAAAACAATTAAAACTTCATGTACAGTCAAAACCGTTTAATTGCGAAAGCTTGGGACCGAAATATTTAAAAATTTCGCAATTATCCGATTTTTGGCAATTATACGATTAAAATTCAACAATTTATTTATTAAAAATCAGTTTGTGTTTTTTATAAAGATATTTATCATCTATATATATTTTAATCATATAAGCCATCAAACTTTGCAATAAATACAATTTTTAATTAATGTAACCAATTATATATTTTAATTTGAATAAGTTATGTAACGAATAAAAAAACTAAATTTTAAAAATGTATCTTATTTGTTGAAACATATGATCATAGCTTTTTTTTCTTCCCACCAATAATCCTATATTTTTATCGTCAATTCATCAAGTTATTATTTTATAAAAAGTATTCAATTAATTTAGATCAATCAAATAATATTAAAATATCTGAAGCACTTGAAAGTAATGTGATATATTTTGATATATTTATTTATATTTTCTCTAGATCTAGACATGATTATAGACAGAAAGGAACAAAGAAAACAAGACTTTTAATTATAAAAAGAATGTAATTATTTATGTATTAGCATTATAGTTGTTAATAAATTATTTTTTATTGAATAAAATTATAATTAAATTTGTTTACTTGATTTTATCTCATTTTTTATTTAAGATATGTAAGAATTAAATCAAAAAAAGCTTTTGTGAAAGATAATAACATTTTTTCCTTTACAATACCCTAATATTTATTTCCATTAACTACTTTTGTCATTTTACCTTCATTAAATTTACTGAAATATAATTTTACACAAATATATTATCACTTTTTAAATTCTAATTTATTATTAAAGCCAAATTTTTGCCTAAAAAACTGGAAACAATAAGATTAATATAAAAGAATTTAAGTTTATTAAGTGTTTTGTTTTCATTCACATGATATTTGATCTAAAATCCTGTGCCTATTCAAATCTTATAAATTAAATAACAGACCATGCTGGAATGAAAGTTTATTAATGCTTTATAACATAAGATTTTATTTGAACTAATTTTATTATACATGCATCACAATTATTATAAAGTAATGTAAGATTTAATAAAAATATTTTGTGATAAGAGTTTGGCTAGACTCTGGAGTCAATAATTCTTTTTCCACTATATTCTCTAGCTTTCTTAGTGAATCTTGATCCCTTAGATGTTCATGAGCATATTCAAGAAAAGTATAATAACCATTAAGGACCTGATTTTTTGTAATTAAATGATCAGATATCTCTAGGTTCCCTTCGTCATTCTCTGAGCTTTCATAACCTTCTATAAAAAATAAGATTAATTAAAATTTTAAGTAATTAAACCTTCCAACTCTAATCTTATCTGATTACAAATATCCTGATCATCTAAAATTCCATGGCAGCTAGCATCATCGTGTAACACATATTCTTCAAATATGGGATCAAATTCATCTTCTTCGTTGTCAGTTAATGCTATATCATCCTCCAATTCCCAATCAAATGCCATAGACTTATCAAAAAATTTAGCTTCAATAAAACACTTTATGATTGTGGTACTTGTCACCTCACCCCATGCAAATTTTATAAGATAGAGGCTATCATAAAGTGTAAATCTTTTATAAAAAGAGGTGGTGTCATTTCCTTCCATCAATGTTATCATTTTTCTCATGATACCCTTTCTATAATGACATTTAAAGGATCTAATTGCACCCATGTCCAAAGGTTGAATTAATGATGTTGTATTTGCTGGTAAAAAAATTATTTTATATTGTTAAATGTTAATTTTGTTTTATGACAAGATGCATTGTCACAAAACATAAAATTTTCTTCTTTAATGAGGAATCCCATTCTTTAAGATATCTTCAAAAGTTGAGGTTGTCATGCAGCTGCTTTTATTGGAGTAGTATTTAACTGGTAATTTTTTATTTTTAAAGCACCTAGGGTTTTTAAATTTCCCTACAACATATAACTTTTTATCAGATCCATCCCCATTTATGATAAAAAGAACTGTGAGCTTTTCCTTGTCTGGTTTGAAGCCCAGTGGTTGAGTTCCACTAAATTTCATTGTGCCCTTTGGTAATGCTCGGTAGTATAGTCCTGTCTCATCACAATTGTAAATATTACTCCTTTGATAATCTTTAATCAGAGATGGGAGTGTATTTCTGCTCCATTCATTTGCATTAATAATATCTGCACTCCCCTTTTCATTGCAAACATTATGAAAATTTATATTCTTTTCCTAAATCTCTGCAACCAGCTGCTAGTAGGAATGCCTATAAATTACCTTCATTGAATGTTTGGCTAAAAAACATAGCTTTTTCTAACATCACTGGCCCATTTAGACTGCAATTTTTACTTCGCATTTGGGTAAACCAAATCAATAAAGCTGCTTCTGTCTTTGGGTAACAACTCATTCTAACTCTTTTAGTTGTAGGAGGTTTATTCCTTAGAAATTGTGAGCATAGATTTTCTTTATTCGCTATTAAACGGTAGATTGTCGAGACGTGGTACAGTCAAAACCGTTTAATTGCGAAAGCTTGGGACCGAAATATTTAAAAATTTCGCAATTATCCGATTTTTGGCAATTATACGATTAAAATTCAACAATTTATTTATTAAAAATCAGTTTGTGTTTTTTATAAAGATATTTATCATCTATATATATTTTAATCATATAAGCCATCAAACTTTGCAATAAATACAATTTTTAATTAATGTAACCAATTATATATTTTAATTTGAATAAGTTATGTAACGAATAAAAAAACTAAATTTTAAAAATGTATCTTATTTGTTGAAACATATGATCATAGCTTTTTTTTCTTCCCACCAATAATCCTATATTTTTATCGTCAATTCATCAAGTTATTATTTTATAAAAAGTATTCAATTAATTTAGATCAATCAAATAATATTAAAATATCTGAAGCACTTGAAAGTAATGTGATATATTTTGATATATTTATTTATATTTTCTCTAGATCTAGACATGATTATAGACAGAAAGGAACAAAGAAAACAAGACTTTTAATTATAAAAAGAATGTAATTATTTATGTATTAGCATTATAGTTGTTAATAAATTATTTTTTATTGAATAAAATTATAATTAAATTTGTTTACTTGATTTTATCTCATTTTTTATTTAAGATATGTAAGAATTAAATCAAAAAAAGCTTTTGTGAAAGATAATAACATTTTTTCCTTTACAATACCCTAATATTTATTTCCATTAACTACTTTTGTCATTTTACCTTCATTAAATTTACTGAAATATAATTTTACACAAATATATTATCACTTTTTAAATTCTAATTTATTATTAAAGCCAAATTTTTGCCTAAAAAACTGGAAACAATAAGATTAATATAAAAGAATTTAAGTTTATTAAGTGTTTTGTTTTCATTCACATGATATTTGATCTAAAATCCTGTGCCTATTCAAATCTTATAAATTAAATAACAGACCATGCTGGAATGAAAGTTTATTAATGCTTTATAACATAAGATTTTATTTGAACTAATTTTATTATACATGCATCACAATTATTATAAAGTAATGTAAGATTTAATAAAAATATTTTGTGATAAGAGTTTGGCTAGACTCTGGAGTCAATAATTCTTTTTCCACTATATTCTCTAGCTTTCTTAGTGAATCTTGATCCCTTAGATGTTCATGAGCATATTCAAGAAAAGTATAATAACCATTAAGAACCTGATTTTTTGTAATTAAATGATCAGATATCTCTAGGTTCCCTTCGTCATTCTCTGAGCTTTCATAACCTTCTATAAAAAATAAGATTAATTAAAATTTTAAGTAATTAAACCTTCCAACTCTAATCTTATCTGATTACAAATATCCTGATCATCTAAAATTCCATGGCAGCTAGCATCATCGTGTAACACATATTCTTCAAATATGGGATCAAATTCATCTTCTTCGTTGTCAGTTAATGCTATATCATCCTCCAATTCCCAATCAAATGCCATAGACTTATCAAAAAATTTAGCTTCAATAAAACACTTTATGATTGTGGTACTTGTCACCTCCCATGCAAATTTTATAAGATAGAGGCTATCATAAAGTGTAAATCTTTTATAAAAAGAGGTGGTGTCATTTCCTTCCATCAATGTTATCATTTTTCTCATGATACCCTTTCTATAATGACATTTAAAGGATCTAATTGCACCCATGTCCAAAGGTTGAATTAATGATGTTGTATTTGCTGGTAAAAAAATTATTTTATATTGTTAAATGTTAATTTTGTTTTATGACAAGATGCATTGTCACAAAACATAAAATTTTCTTCTTTAATGAGGAATCCCATTCTTTAAGATATCTTCAAAAGTTGAGGTTGTCATGCAGCTGCTTTTATTGGAGTAGTATTTAACTGGTAATTTTTTATTTTTAAAGCACCTAGGGTTTTTAAATTTCCCTACAACATATAACTTTTTATCAGATCCATCCCCATTTATGATAAAAAGAACTGTGAGCTTTTCCTTGTCTGGTTTGAAGCCCAGTGGTTGAGTTCCACTAAATTTCATTGTGCCCTTTGGTAATGCTCGGTAGTATAGTCCTGTCTCATCACAATTGTAAATATTACTCCTTTGATAATCTTTAATCAGAGATGGGAGTGTATTTCTGCTCCATTCATTTGCATTAATAATATCTGCACTCCCCTTTTCATTGCAAACATTATGAAAATTTATATTCTTTTCCTAAATCTCTGCAACCAGCTGCTAGTAGGAATGCCTATAAATTACCTTCATTGAATGTTTGGCTAAAAAACATAGCTTTTTCTAACATCACTGGCCCATTTAGACTGCAATTTTTACTTCGCATTTGGGTAAACCAAATCAATAAAGCTGCTTCTGTCTTTGGGTAACAACTCATTCTAACTCTTTTAGTTGTAGGAGGTTTATTCCTTAGAAATTGTGAGCATAGATTTTCTTTATTCGCTATTAAACGGTAGATTGTCGAGACGTGGTAATTGTAATTTGATGCTAATTGTGTTTTTGATGTAGTGTTTAATTTATCAATTATTTCTTTTTTATGCTTCAGGGTTAATGTTTGGAATGATTTTTTTACCATTTTTATATTAATTTCTGGCGTGGTAATGAATGAATGAATGGAAAAAGGTTAAATAAAAAAAATGATGAATAATTTTTTTCGATAAATTTTTTTTATTTTTCCACTTATCCGATTAAATTAACGTTATTGTTATATAAATGGGACCTGAATAATTTTGCAATTATCCGATATTTCGCAATTAACCGATTCGCAATTATAAATGTAATTTAACATTATACCATAGTAATTATTATCAAAATCGCGGGGTTTTCGCATTTAAAAGTTTTTGCACTTAAGCGATATGCAATTAAACGGTTTTGACTGTAATTGTAATTTGATGCTAATTGTGTTTTTGATGTAGTGTTTAATTTATCAATTATTTCTTTTTTATGCTTCAGGGTTAATGTTTGGAATGATTTTTTTACCATTTTTATATTAATTTCTGGCGTGGTAATGAATGAATGAATGGAAAAAGGTTAAATAAAAAAAATGATGAATAATTTTTTTCGATAAATTTTTTTTATTTTTCCACTTATCCGATTAAATTAACGTTATTGTTATATAAATGGGACCTGAATAATTTTGCAATTATCCGATATTTCGCAATTAACCGATTCGCAATTATAAATGTAATTTAACATTATACCATAGTAATTATTATCAAAATCGCGGGGTTTTCGCATTTAAAAGTTTTTGCACTTAAGCGATATGCAATTAAACGGTTTTGACTGTAATAACAAATCCTGAAGGTATTTTTTTATTTTTCACCATCAATCCAACGATTTTTAAAATAGGGATGAGAAATAGTTGCCAAAAATGCACTTTTAAAATTGTTATCAATCATATATATTTTTAAATCTTTTATTTAAATAATTTTCTATGGCAACAGCTATTGCAAAATTGTAGATTGGTTTGAATTAAATTTGTCATTTTTTTTAACGACATTTAAAATTGGAGCTGATTCTCCATAATAGCAGTTGATTTCACTCTGTATTTTGTCAATCGCTATAGCCAATGGGGCCATTATATTGCAATATTCTTCTAAATATTGAATTTCAATATCTCTTAATTTAGGAAATTCTAATCTTTGACATAATTTAGGAAGTTCTCCTTTAAATTTTAATAAACTATGAAGATTATCATACAAACTATTCCATCTAGTGCAACAAGGTGTAACTAATTGTTTTCCTAAAACTGCTTTGATAAGTTCTGCAGTTTTAGGCCTATTATTTGCATTCCATAGCTTAGTACATTTAGCTATTGCAGGATGATGAATTTTAGAAATGTTAGGAGAATCCTTAATAGCTCTCTCGACATCTGTTGTGGCAATTAGACTTATCGTATGGCACAAACAACGAATGTGTTGAGGCAATGTTATTGAGGCTTCTTTAGACCCTTAAATAAACAAATAATAATTTTATTTGAATAAATTTTTTTATTAAATTTACAATATCAAAATAAATTTTAAAGAAGTATTAAATAATACTTTCAATGATTTCGAATTCTATACATTCATCATCATTGATGTCAAAGTCATTCTCTACAGCTTCCATAGAATATCCAAACTCCTTGAAAGCTTTCTTAAAGTTAGAGCCGTTATCTGTAACAGTTGCTATAACTTTTTCGTCAATACCAAAGTCATGATGAATTTCTTTATTATGATCATCTTGAAGTACTTCAAAAAATTTGCCATTAAGTATGCTTAGTTTAAATTTATTGTTATAATTTTCGGTTGAAGAATCATCTGAAGACGAAGATAAACATATTATTCTATTTTCTTCTTCCATAATTTTAAAATAGACAGATATGAAACGATTCAAATATGGTAGTTCTAATTGTTAGCAAATTGCTATATGACGACCAACGTCATCTATCAAAAATTATCTTAAAATATCTAAATTTTGATTAAATTTTTCATTTAAATCTTAAAACAATATCATTTTAAAATTTAATACTATTTAAATTAACCAATATAAATTTTTTTTAAAGTATCTGTATCTTTTTGAATACAAAGTTGGTTAAGATACAAATACTTTTAAATAATATGTATCTTAGATACTGGATACAAGATACTTTCCAAAATTTTAAAAAAGATACAAATATCCGCGATACTGCCCAACCCTGATTATTATTATTATTGAAAATGGACCAAAATGAAAATAATAAACAACACAAGTAATACCAAACCCCATCAAAATAATTTATGATTTTTTCATATTCATATCATTTTATTTATTTATCTTGGGTTAAATTAACTATGGCCAAGACGAGTAGATTAAGGAACATAAAGAAAAAGGAATAGTTGGCGAAATTGATTAAATAAAAATGGAAATTTTTAAATTTGGGAAATGACATATAGGTTGAGATCCTAAATTATAAAATATCTGTAATGTGTTGAAGATTTAAAAAAAAATATTTTAAATTCAGAAATGTTATTGCCAAGTAATAAAATAGGAGGAATTAAGTGATCAAAAATTCGTTTGTGAAAAATACTTAATATAGTGCTTAATAGATCCCAAGAAAATATGAGGCTACAATTATAGCAATGATTGGATGCTATCGTATGGTTCAACCCCTGTGCGCTTAGATAATGATATGGATCGGCAATTACCTGCGAACAAAAGGAGGAAAAGAGGAGGGATCCTTAAGTTAGTGAAAACACCATGAAAAGACAATAATTATGTTTTCAAATAGTGGTGGGCGTGTTATATACGTCTTTTTATTTTAGTCAGCGTCATAAAAATTAATATTATTTTAGTCATCGTCATAAAAATTTATAAAATCATTTTATTGAGTAATCGTCGTAAAATTAATATTATTTTCGTGAGTCATAATTATAATAAAATATAATTTTTTTATTTGATTATTAATAAATTTGTATTTATTTCTAACAATTTAAGCGGGCAATAGCCCGCAAAGGGGGGTTTGGGGGGCAAGTCCTCATCTATTGGGCCTTTCTTAGAAATCTCCCACGAGGTATTTAGTATCCCAGTCCTCCCCACCTACTATTTTAGGCCAAAATAATAAAAAGAGGATATTCACAGATGGAGAAGAGATAAATATAACTATAGAATTTTTTATGGCCTTTCAATTAAAAAGGTATAAAATTATTCTTCGTTAATTTATATTTTAGATAAAAATATTAGCATACCACATGAATGACAGTAAATATGATGAAAAAATGTAAAGTTTTATTAATTCTTGACAACCATATTTCCAGAGTTGTTATAGTAGCGGTCTATCTTTTTGGGTAGATAGGTAATAGCGCGCTACTTTTCTTTTAATTAATTTTTTGCGCTTTTTTTTTTGAAAGTTTCAAAAATTATAATGAATATAACACATAAAAATTTAAATATAATATCATAATTAATTATAATTTTTTTATTATTTAATTTTGAAATTTATATTTTCAATTTGAATTATAAACCTAAATCATATGGTGTAAATTATTTAAAATGTCATCACAAATGGATATCGAAATCGATGTAATTGAGTCAGACAATGATAATATTAATGAAGTGGAAGAGTACCCTGGAAGAAAATATTCTTGATAACAATAATAAAAATTTCCCATTTCAAAATATTTTTAAATTAATGTTAAAAAAAGGTGGTTATATTTGTTTAAAATGTAGAATACCCTCAAAAAATTTAGTAACTATAACCTCAAAAAACACTTAAATGTGATTGTCATTTTTATATTCTAATAGTATTTTTATTTTGTAAGCATATTGCCAACAGTTTTAAAAAGATAGAAAAACATCTTAATAATTTTGGTATATGGGGAGACTACATCCAAAAAGACCAAATCAATTTAAACTAAATTTTTTTATAATATTGCACATGCCAATATTTCTCAGAAACTGGCTGATAAAGTCATTGTCGCAGCTGTTATTGTCATTGGTTGATAACCAATAATTTATCATGATAATTAAGACTATCCCCTAGTACAGATAGTATAGAAATGATTATATTATTATAATGCAACAAAATAAATATAAAAAAAATATTACCATAAATAATATTTTAATTACATTTTTAATCTTTTGAGCTCTGTTGATTTGTTAAATATAGATGAATATGCAAAATATTAGGGCCAAATTCCCTCCAATAGAATTTATGAGAAATTTCCTCCCCCCAATTCCCTAAGTAAAATTTTGACTACAAATTTAAAACACTCTAATGTTATGGGCACATCAGGGTTACTCTATATATTCCTCATATTCATCTGACTGGATGTTAAAGAAAAATTTGGAGTAAAAATTTGAGGAGCTCTCTACACCTTCGTGTGAAAGCCGCACCTTCTTGTACACATAATAGCCCTAAGACCATTATTTAGTCAGTACTGTAGGCTAGATGAAAAGGACGTTGAACCAAGCAAAAGCAAACACAATTATCAATTAATTTACATGGGTCGGAGAGAATGGGCTGGTTTTAATTTTAGATTACAATGTTACGAAATTAAAGCAAGGTCACTGGGTTTGAGATAAACTTATGATAAATAATAGAATTTTTCTATAAAAAAATTTGTGAAATTTAAATATAAAATTTTCGTCTAAAACAGCTCATACATGTTGAAGTGAATTAAAAAACATTTCTTGCATACATAACATGTAATTTTAAATAAATAATTGCGATATAAACCCATTGATATGTCTGATATGTCCACTAAAATAAATTCTGAATTAAATAGTCAAAAACCCCCTAAGTTTTTATGTGGGATAGTAGAAGGTATGTGTATTATTTTTAATATATGATTTATATTATCTTAGGGTTTTATGGTCGGCCCTGGACAATTGAGCAACGTAAAGAATTATTTAAACGGTATTATCATTTATAACTAATTATATAGTTATTTATTTTTAAGTATGAACAAATTACAATTAAACACATATATGTATGCACCTAAAGATGATACAAAACATCGTACTTATTGGCGGGATTTGTATTCAAAGGCAGAAGGAGGTATAATATCTGAATCAGCAATTATTCTATTTATATACTATAATAGAATGTTTGACTAGTCTAATCAAGTGTGCAAAGCAAAATAATATTGATTTTTATTATGCACTTTCTCCTGGATTAAATATAACTTTTTCAAAAACAAAAGATATAGAGGCTATTAAGAAAAAAATGGACCAAGTAAAATCTGTCATTTTGTTTAAATTTTATTTTAAAAAACTAATCAATTAGGTTGCAACATTTGGTTGTACATCATTTGCCCTGTTGTTTGATGATATAGATGCAGAGCTTTCAGTATCAGATAAGCTCAAATTTAAATCATTTGCTGATGCTCAATCAATTGTAACAAATGAAATATATGAACATTTAGGAAAGCCTAATTTTATGTTTTGCCCAACAGGTAAAATTATTTTTATCATTTAATTATATTATCATTGTTTAAGATAACTTTTTCATGTAAATTTTATGCTTTAAATTACTGTTTGATAAATATACCTATTAAATTAAATAGAGATTCATGAATATAATTTTTTTGTTTTAATTTTAATGATTATTATTTGAAAAAATTTTACATTTTAATAATTACATTGATAAGACTGACTATAATTTAATTCCTTAGTTCTTATAGTATTACTTAAATATTTATGTTTTAATTTTAAATTAAGATTTAAAATTTTTAAGAATTATTATAAATACATTTAAAAAGAGTTTAAACAGACATAACATAAAAAAGGTTAATATTATTATGAGTTCTAATTTAAGGCCCTTATATCTGTAAAAAATTGAGGACCCTCATGCATTATAAAGGTTGCAGGGGTGTCTGTTACGCCTCAGAGTTTTAATGTTGCATATCAATACCACAATTATCTCGAATGTAGGTTATAGTGAAAGTTCCACAAATGCATTACCTTGTATATAGTATTGCTAAATTAACCACAAATATAATATAGTGAAAATTTTATACTGAATACATTAGCTATATTACCATAAAAGCATTGCAACAAATGTATTTCTGCAAAAATTATATCAATGCAATCCTGATAACATTATCATAAATGAAATCAGTTGCAATATCGGGAATAAATTTGGTGAAAATTACAATTTTATTTATCGGCCTATAGACAGACATGGTTTATGAGAATTGGTCTAAAGTTGGGCTGAGGTTTCAATTTTTTTATAAGTTGAGGTTGGACTTTTTATTGACTAAAAATATATAAAAAAACATTATAAGCAATAAAATAGAATGTTTTCTTTAAGATTAGGATAAAAGAATTTAATTTTTATATTATTAAATTGTTTAAATACGTGTTCAATTATATTTTTTTTATCAAATTTAGGACAGGACAAACTCAGTCCTAAAATAAAAATTTTAAAAATTTTGCTGGCTTTGGACCTAAATAAATGGAAATATTGGGTTGGGTTTGGGCCAAAATAAATTTAATTTGCATGGGCTAAGAACAAGTCTTTGAACTTCATAATTAAAGATAAAAATCACTATCACACATATCAGATAAAAATGAAATATTTTTTTAATGACAAAGGTGTGACTCGGGCTTTACATTGAGCCAAACAGATAATTTGTTCTTGAAATCATTTTTATTATTCTTGCTTTAGTGATAATATGGATAAACATATGTCAAAGCACAGTTTATATAATTCAAAAATTGTAATTTAGCTATTTTTTGATAATAAATTTTTATAAAGTTCTTTGATCACTTTATTAAAATGAAAAAGCCAAAACTCATATTCCTGTCCCAAGACCTAAACCCATCCACTTGATAATTATTATTACAATCAAAAGATATTTTAATTACCTTTTATTTAACACCTATCTCATTATTTTTTTTACCCCCCCCCCTCATCCATCCACGCCCCAGGCCAAGTCCTACCCATCAAGACCAAGAATGAATACTTTCAGTCAAAAGATATTAAATTTATTATTTGATCATATCAATATTTTTTTTGAAAAACATTCCTGATTTACAAACTTGCCCATTAAGGAGGAGAGAATCATATCCAGTTGAATAAATCTTTTGATTAGCTATTGATTGATATCCTTTAAAAAAAATTAAATCCTTCAAGGGATCCCTTTAAATTCCTTGATGATCCAGGATAGTTCTGATCCCTTAAATTAATACGACATATATACATTGTAATTGAATAAAATAATTTGATTTGCAAAATATATTAATAAAAATGATTGCAAAAGAGAAATAAAAATTATGTGAAATTTGAAAGATAAAAATATAAGGAGAAAAAAATCATAAAAACTCAAAAAATTGATATGTAAGATGAAAAGGGGAAAAAATTGTTAAAATATGACACAAAATGAAGTAGAGAAGTGAAGAAAAATAACAGGGGAAAAAGACAAAAAGAATTTAAATGGAAAGAAAAATAAATTGAGAAAAGATAAGAAAAATAAAGATTAAAAATGACTTAAAGAAATCGCAAAAAGTTAGAAATAAAATAAGAAGGAAAAATAAGCTAAAAATTGACAAGAAAAAAATTTAAATTTATAATTTTTTTTAAAAAAATAACGATTTTCCATTTTTGAATGGGAATTTTCTTTTTTGATTGAACCTTTTCCTTTTTGTTTGTCACTTTTCCCTTTTTGATTGACACTTTTCCTTTTTTGATTTTTTTTTGAATAAGAAACCCTGTATTGTGACTAAGGAATTGAAATGGGCAAAATAATAATTTTCTTAATTGATTCTTGTTAAGTGTTTGCTTGTCTAGTATTTATAAATGTAATCAAGAGAAGATCTGATAATGATAAAATTACCATGAATGATTGCACCAAGTTTGATTCTTGAATTCCCTTGTAAAAAGTGGAATATTTGTTAACTTCAGTTATTTTTTATAACATAAAAATATGGGTTTCATATACCGAGAAATTATCAATCAATACACTACTACCGTATAAATCTTCCAAATTTGAAAGAAAAAACAATGAAATATGGCCATTAATTTCGTTAGAAATATTCAAATTAACATAATATTACATTAATTATATTTATTATTTTGATGATACTATTCTCACAATATGCCTTGTGTTTTATATTATAATTTATAATTAAAAAAATTTCAAAAATGGCGAACGACCAGCTATAGACCAACTGGGAACCCGTCTAACCCAATTTTGAATAAATTAAAATAAATGAGGGTTTTTAGTTTTTTTTTATATCAAATATTAGTATATTATCCATTCGCGATATTATTTTTTTGGTATGTTCTCTCTAATGCATTTGCGGTGGTATTCGCGGTAATGTTTTTGCTCCAAAATATTTTTTGTGTTCGCTGTAATGTTTTCGCGGCGATGCAGTCGCGATAATGAATTTGCTAAAATATTATTTTTGTATTGAACATTTATATAATTAACATTCACGATAATACATCTTGCGGAAAATGTTTCGCGGTATAGATGCGATACGGGTTTAATTTAATTATTCAAAGTTTAGCAATGCATAACTAAATGATAAGAGCTGGTAATTAAAGAAATGTTTTCGTTTGAAATAGCTTTTATTATAATAGTTTAAGATCAAAATTTCTTTTATATAATATATTTTAAAATTTTGTATACTAGTAGTCTGAGACCTTCCTGGGCTGAGTTAAATTTTTTAAAATTTTAACTAAAATATTAAAATTTATATACTAGTAATCTCTAGTCAGTGTGACCATTCTGAGCTGAGTCAAATTTTAAAAATTTAAACTATCAACATTTTATACAAATCATTTGCTTCTCATATTTTCAATTTTCTGTCCTCCTTTGAAACCATTTATCCAAAAATATTTTTTAAAATTTAGTCCAAGTTTAAAAATGGGAAAGTTTTTGAATCCAAGCTTAAAATTTGGCGTTTGCGGGTGTCTGATAGAGTAGTAAATGAAAAATTATATTCGACATGCTTTTATTTTAATTGAAATTCATTCCTAACAAACAATCCCTCACAAATCAGGATAAGTTAGATTTAAGGCACTTAATAAATTTATAAATAAAATTCGCAACCCATTTTCATGAAAATTTGATAGAGAAATCTTATTTTGAAATTGAAATTTTTGTTTTTTCTAACGTGTTGACGAAATTGACATTAGAAGTACCAAGACCGTTATTTGACGGTTTTTTCATTTTATTTTGTTAATAACTTAAGTTTTCCCATATATGTCAAATTTCATGACTTTTATTTATTTCCATTTTCTCGAAATTTTGGACCAATCAGAATAATATTAAAAATTTAATTGATGGTTTAATTACCAATGCTGTCATTTGATGACTAAATGATATTTGCTCAAATATGTTTAAAAATTGTTCGCATTTAGATATCTAGATTTACAACAAAGTCTGGAATTTGGAGATGGTCCATCATAGTTTTCATAATATTATAGATTTAGCTATGATAAATTCTTAAATTATCTATGAAGCAATTGTGAAAGCAAATATTTAGAAGAAAATTCACGCAAACGTTGATTAAAAATTTGACCAAATAATTCGCTATTAAGTTGATGCAAATAAGAATTTAAATAAAAAATACAAGGTAAAAATATCAACAGATATCAACTAGTAGTGATCTAATAAAAATTGAACTGCTAATAAATGTTCTAAGTGTAATCCTATGAGGAATAAGTGATATTGCATGTCGAACTAAAACATATGGAGACTTGATGGATTTTTCGAATTATTTTTTACTCAATATATTTTAATAATAGGAAAGAAAATTTTAAAAATTGTATTTATTATTACAGAAAACTATCAACTGACGCTTTTTCTGGTTTTAGGCAGATTTTGGTGCTTCTAGAATTAAAAGAAATTTTAGGCACAATATTAAAACAAGTTTCATAACATCCATTTATTTTTAAGTTTTTCAATTTATGAAATAAATAGTAAAGTATTCCAACAAACAACCAATAATATAATATCCAATTTTTTCATCTTAAGAACTTAATGCAAATAGATAAAATGTACATTTTTAAGTTGCAATAATGTCCCATTTAAATTTGATTAAAATGTGTTTTCACCAGACTTAGTATTGTTAAACGGCTCGATTTCGCCCATTTTAAAGGTTTCAATTCTGCTAAACTTTTATCGCGAATGTTTATTATAACGAATGGATCTTAAAGCGAAACTTTTATCGCGAGAAGCGAATCTAATAGAGCAAAACCTATGCGAACTATTTTGAGCGAACCCACAACAGCTAAACTTTTATCGCGAAAATAGAGAAGTCATTATCGGGAAACCCAAATTATGAAGACAATATAGCAAAAACAATAGCGCGATAATTTCTAATGGTGTTTATTTTATTTTAAACCATTAATTTTTGAGGTTATTAATTAAAAAATGCTTTTAAAAATAGATTGAAAAATCGATTTAGTGTTTTTAGCCTTAATATTTATATGATTCCAGAGCTTAAAATTAATTTAGAAAATTTATTATATGAATATTTTTTATGCTACTCTTATGCTATGCTTTTCCTCTTAGTCTTATTTTATGGAATTTAAGCTAATATTTATTGCGTGATTAATATTTATTATTTATTAATTTATCAATCAGCTTTGCTACACTAAACAAAAATCGAGTTTCAGCAGCAACAATTTACTTAGCCATCTAGCGATGGGAAGCAAAGTTAGGAGAGTATTTAAGATAAAAATTAAGACAGTATAATATATTAATTAAATGGTAGGTAGTTATAATCTCAGGCCACTGAGCTTAAATCACATGTAGAAGTTTATATTGATGAAATCATCCAAAACAAAAAAATAAACAATTATAAACTGGAATACAAAGGATTTATTTCTACAATGTCCCTAATTCTCTCTTTCGTCAGAAACGATTACAAATTTATTTTATCTAATAGAATATTTAAAAAAATGTAGATTATAGTCTTGAAATTAGTTTATTTATTGAAATACGGTAAGAAATCAAAAAGTAATGGACAAGATTTTTAAATTAATTAGAGTACCAATATAATGTGCATTATGTAAAAAAATGAATACTTGGAAAACATGCAAAAAATATGGTGTTGAGCCATATATGAAACTAGTTTTGTAATATATCATATTGTCGTAATATATAATTTACTGGTTTATATTATTCATAAATAGAAATTTATTTAATATAAAAATAACCTGTAAGACGTTTAAGTTCCTGGAGTTCAGATATTGATTCTTAATCTGGTCATACAGCTACATAATGTGAAGTCTGTGAAGAGTATTATGCACTTAATGAGCATGATATTGTGAAAATAAAAAAGCATTACAAATAAATTATAAGCTTTTCCTTAAAAATTGAAAGAGAAGTTAATTAAAAAGATTTCTAATTAAAATAGGAAAAGTTTCAATCAAAACGTTTCAATTAAAAAGGATTCAATATGTTAAGGAAAAGAATTCATTTTTAAATGGGATGGTTTACTTGAGAAAAGTCGGTATTCTATTTTGTAATTCTACATATTATTTTTTTTCATTAAATGGATTTTTATTTTCAATTCTTTTTTATTCTTGCCTATGTGAGGTAAATTATAACCGCGGAAAGCTAGTATACGAGGTTTAGTTGATTTTTAAAAACGGTTGAATCAAGATTTTAGCAAATAATATTACTGCAGCTCACAATCTTTTTATCACTTGTAAGAAAAATCTCCAAGCTGGGTGATTTATTTTTAACGAAAATCTTGAGTTATCTGCTTTTAAATTTTTAGGTTAATTGAGGGAAACATTTATTGTGAATCTTTTTAGCGAAACATATCGCGAATGTCGTTTATTGCGAAAGAATTTTAGAGCGAAGGTAATATCGAGTAACCAATTTCGCGAAACAACAGCTAAGGCGATATCACAAACTCATTATCGCGAAGCCTAAACCACGAAAACTTTGGAGTAAATACATTTTAGCGAACCTTTTATCGTGACCACGAATGCATTTCTCGAATTTAACGCGAGAGCATTACCTTACATTGTTAACGCGAATTCGCAGCAAATATACAAAATATAGAAATATATTTTACATTTCATTTTTTTTATATCTCGCCTCGAATCCCCGCTAACTCTGAAATAAGGATTACTGGGAAACCATGAATATATTTTTAAAAAAATCATATTTAATACATATTTTATTTATCGATACAAGTTCTTAAATCATGAGCGCGAAATGTTATAAGGGAAGGGTATGTTTTTATTTTAGTTGGCTTAAATGTGACATTTATCTAATGGCGGGAAAGGGGCAATGGATTCAGTTTTTTGCCCCAATAAATCCTCCACCCCCCTCCAATATAAATGATGAAAGTGTAAAAAATGCGCCTTATGCAATTCAAAATAAAATTTAGCAAATAGAAATGCTTAGAATTTTTTCTTACTAATTCTCGTCCAAAAATACTGATAGTTAAAAAATTTTTGATTTTTTAAAAAACGTAGATGATTTTACTAAGTACAATTTTAATTTTCTCATAATTTTTTTTATATTCCGAGTTAAATTTTTTGTTTGAATCATTAAATTTTTTTAAAATAATTAACACGGTGGCATATGCCAAAACGAGTTATATTTGCTTAAATAAGGAAAGTGTTTTTTAATCTCTTATTTCTATAGAAAATTATTTTCCTGGAATAACACCAGTTGAAACCACTGGGTATTATGCTTACCATCTCAGCATAAAATTGTGATCTACAATTATAAATTTAAGATGGGTGATGATATCTGAATAAACTCAATTATTATAGTGCCTCCCCCCTCAGAATTTTAAAAAGTTTATATTTAAAAAATATATAAGCATAAATATGAATTTTAATACCTTGAGGAATTTAGTAAATCAAAACTTTTATAAAGATACCAATTTTTTTTTCACCAAACTAAATGAAATAGAAGGATTATATAACGAAATACCATTATATTCATTTTTGATCCTTCTATCGGGAAAAAAGAATAAGTATATCAAAAAGGATTTATAATATAACCCTTAATATGATGTTTTTTGCTTTACTTTCAGAATACTGCGTGTGCCGCGCCGTCCCTAACGTCACTTCGTCCGATTACCTCAAAACGCTTGGCCTGAACCTCAACCCAGCTATAAGCGTTATGTGGACAGGACCTAGGGTGGTTTCGAAACGAGTCAACAGATCCGGGCTAGAGGAATTAAAATCGGTATTACCTAAAGGGAATAATTTGATTTTGTGGGACAATATACATGCTAATGACTACGATCCGAAACGAATTTTTTTGGGGCCCTTTAAAGGCCGGGACCAAGATATTATTTCTGGTTACGGATTAGAAGAAGATGACATTAATGTCAATGAATATTATAAAGAAGATGATAATATGAAAGTTAATAACACAAACGAAAGTGACAAAATTAGCCGAAATTTACCAACGTTTTCTGGTAATATTGATGATGAAGTTAGCTCAAAGAGTCCAAATAAGGCAGTGATATCAAAAAACGATACGGGAAGTATTAGTAAGGAAATTCTTGAGCCCTATGGCCTAAAAACGTTTGATAAACATGGCTCCTATAGAAGAGGGCCATTAGACGGTGTTCTCTCAAACCCTAATTGCGAGTTCGAGGCCAATTACGTGGCCATCCATACGCTAGCCCAATGGAGCAAAATCAAAATGGACCCGGTGATTCGAGAAAATATTGCTGCGACTGAGAATTGTGAGGGTTATTATATTTTATATTATATTTTTGTTTATTTGTAAAGAAATATCAAGTTTTTAAGAATATTAAAATACAAAGACACAGTAAGGTAGTATAATCTGAATGTAACGTTTCGATTTATAACATTTATCTTTTTAGCGTTTTGATTTCTGGCTCCGAAGAAAGAAATGCCTTCTTTCAACACTTTACCTCATTTTTAATCTAGTGATTTAACAATCCATTATTTGCTAAGCTCCTTTTTTATACTTTAAAATCATACGTTATTACATTTTATTTACCATTGCTCCAGCCATTACCTTTTTATAAATTATTTCATAGACAATAAAACCTATTATATAAGAGTTCAACTGGTTAAAATTCCCAAAACCTTAATGTAACGTTTCGATTTATAACATTTATCTTTTTAGCGTTTTGATTTCTGGTTCCGAAGAAAGAAATGCCTTCTTGGGTTTAACACTTTACCTCATTTTTAATCTAGTGATTTAACAATGCATTATTTGCTAAGCTCCTTTTTTTTATTTTACTTTAAAATCATACGTTATTACATTATTTACCATTGCTTCAGTCATTATCTTCTTATAAATTATTTCATAGACAATAAAACATATTATATAATAGTTCAACTGATTAAAAATCCCAATTTCAATTGATAAAGTCCAATGTTGTTAGATAGAGCGCTATCACAAATCCTATTTAACAAAAAATTAGCGCGCTATTAGATACCTTAAATTTTTTATTAATTAATATTTCAACTTCAAACATGTAAAAAATATTGATATAAAAATGTAGCTAAAAATTTAAAATATATAACCTATTTAGTTTTGTTGCACTTAATAATACATCTCAATATTATCATCCCCAAGTCAAGAGCGACGATCAGAAAGTATAAGTTTTGGCTTTTCAAATAATCGTTAAACTCAGCACTTGAGATCAGTGCAGTATTTGATTATATATACATATTTTATTTTGTAATACTCATTTGTGTGGTTTTAAGATTTAAAAAAGCGTCTAGGAATTTTATATTGTATTATTGTCATTTATTTCATAAAAATCCTTCATAGTAGGCGGTTCTTGATGTATTGGCTATTGTATCTTTGTTTGGTATGCGCTCAATGTTACCATTCGCCTATAGTTGTCATTTGAATCTTGTTCTAAATTAATATAAGGCCAATAAACTTAAAATTAGGGTGAATAATGGCGGAGCACGTTATCATCGTCAACTTATTTTGAATTAAAAGATTATGGATAATCAGCAGTTAATTTTCCTTTTAGAACTAATGCAGCAGATCGTTTTAATGTCTTAGGATCTAGACAATGGCAACCTACTCCTAATTCAACTCTAAAGTAATATCAGAAGATAAATAAAAAAATACATTATTTTATCTTACCATCAAATATGATAGAGGCATCCGATTTTCATTTCTTGAAAATTAGCCAGAATTCTTGCCATCAATGGTACCTGAAGATGTCTTTACCAGATTGAAATGAGAGATTATCCAAGGAAATTGGCTGAACTTTGTCAATCATAAAATTGATTATGACTTTATCAGCCAATTTTTGAGAAACACATACTACTGATGTGCAGGATTGATCAATTTTGTTTGAATTAGATTTGATTTGGATGCTGCCTATTCCATTCCAAAATTATTCACATATTTTAAAATTTCTCTGAACTAAATTTAAAACAGTAATAATTTTAATAAAATTTACGAATATGCTTTTAGATGTTTCTGTAGGTTTGAAACTGCTTGATTTATTGGATATTAACTTCCAGCTTCTTATATAACGAAATTAAAATTTTTTGTTAATTTTTTTATTGAGTTTAAAATATTTTACAAATTTGGGAAAAGGAAATTCCACAATAACATTTTCCAGCGCTTTGTTGTCATCGGCCTAAAAAATCTCTTCCATGTTAATCTTTATTGGCGGCATTTTATATTTTAAATTACTTGATAAATTAGATTTATAATGCAGATTTTTAAATATAAATTATAAAATTAAATAAAAAAGATTTTAATTTTAACATTAATTCTGAAATTTTAAATTAATTTTAATAATTTTTGTAGTGTTCCTTTTATATAAAATCGAGTAACGAAATAGCGCGCTATTAACTACCCTAAAAAAGCCCACGATACGGCTAATGTTAATTTTTTAAAAGAAGCGTCATATAGCTACTGCTTCTGGGAAAAGTAAAGTAGTGCTCAACTTTAACATCTCTGGTTAATTCCCATTCCATCATTTTATTGAATTCCTAAGACCTGACTTGGGCCTCGTCCAGGGTGATAAAAAATCTTAAAAAAAGAAGTTTAAATGATATTGTAATAAACTAAATGCCCACTTTGTAAAGATATAAACCTGTACTGAATGTCTAATCTATGGATCTATATTTTTTTAAATGCCCACTTTATAAAGATATAAACCTGTACTGAATGTGTCATTTATGGATCTATATTTTTTTATTCCTTGATTTCATTTAATCAATATTTGTTTCATATAAACCTATTTTTATTTTTCTGCACTACGCCTTGAGATTGTGGCCGGAGGTATATTATAAATCTACCAGATTATACTTACAAAATATTATCAGACTTTTTTAATCAGATTTTTTTTAAAGGAGGATTTTTACATGACTAAATATTATAGTTGGATACCTGTGATCATTATTAAAAAATACCATTTAATATAATATATTTATGCATTATTTATGATTTAATGTTTGATTTATTTTTATAAATTTATAACATTTTTTCTAGTATGCCAAAATTTTGGTATTAATATGACACTTGAAATTTGACAAAAAATAACAGAAAATTGACAAAGATAGAAACATAATTATACGTATACACTAATTAAGAATAAATATGTATACAAAAAATATATAATATTGAGCTAAAGATTTTCTTATATTGTTACCTTATGTAAAAAGTAACGCATTACTCGTTGCCTTAAAAAGTAACATTTTAATTATTCCTTAAAGAATACTAAATAATATATGTACATTTTATTTTTATTTTTTGCTCATAGATAATGAAAATAAATTTATACAAAAAATATATTATATTTTATTTTTAACAGTAGTGCTCAAAAGTGTGCTGAACACTTTGGACTGGCACAGAGAATTGGTTGGTCGTTTATAATTAATAAATCAGAATTTTAATTTGGTAAATTTATTAAAAATATTTAAAGAATGATTTTTATTTTCCAAAAGAACTTTATATCATATGACCACAAGAATTTTCATTCAGATCTTCATCAATTTTTTTTATCTTTATCAAAAATTACTCTGGTATGTATGTTAGAATGAATGATGTTGATTTATTATTGGTTAAAAATAAAACATATAAGTTATGGATAGAAAGGAAAAAAATTTATGAACTAGATATGTTTTTTGAAAAAATATCTAAAATTTATTAAAAAAATATCTAAATAATTCAATTATTTTTTGTCAAAATTATTATTTATATATTAAAAACGTTAAAATGTTTAAAGAAAAATGTGCGGGAGATATTGAAAAATTGCGGTAGTTTTGCGGGAGTGAGATGTTTACGTGTAAACTAAAATCTTGCAGGAGTCTCCCGCTGATGGAGGGGGGGGGGAATCTGACAACCCTGAGGGCATGTTGCATTGCTCATAAGTATCTTGATGGGACTAATTATTAGAAGCAAGAAACGGTTAAACCCTGTAACAATTTTAAATTATAAGATTTCTTGCACCATAAATTAAATTGCTAAAACCGAGAAAATGAAATTTTTTAGAAAGATTATATTATCGTTTATAAATACAAAATATTATTCATAAAAACTATAAATATATGTTTATCATTTAAAAGAAATAGAAAGAAGACATGGTTAGTTTTTTGGTTTGAAAATTTAAAATGAGATAAAAATCTTAAAATATTCAGAATGGATTGAAATTTTTTCGCTTAAACTATTTCGCAAATATTCAAATATTGTGAGGGATTTGAAAATAAAATTTTAAATATAAAGAAACATAATCATTAAATCAAACTGTAGAAATTAGAACTGATTACCTGTATCTATAAATACTTTAATTTATTAAAATCTTAGAAATCTACGTATCGCAAGTATAAATTTATTGTGCTAAATAAGATATTGTATAATAATATAACTCATTTTTTAAAATATTTTCTACAATATTACGATCCCATTCATTATATAACTTTAGAAAATTGTTCTAAAAAAATTATGTTCTTAAACTTAGCCCTGGCTCAAACTAAATATAGTTACGATCCGAGAATAGCCCTCGAGATAGCCTTGACAAGCTGGTTAGATCACGTAAACTCGCGCGCGCCTTACTTGGTTCAAATCCCTCGTTGTCTCACGACCCAAAGCGGAATATCGGCCACTGGAGGAGGCATCAGTGGGTACGATTCTAGCGCATATCTCAATTATTACGGGACGGCCACTAACAATTTAGTAAGATCATCAAATAAAGAAAAATAAACTTACTCTTTTTTTCCATATTTCTTACTTTTTTTTTGTTATTCCTATTTTTTACGTTATTTTTATAAAGAAATTATCTTGCCAGAGAATTTAAATTCTAGCTTAACTTTTAATATAATAAATACTATTAATAGATATATAAGTACTAAAGTGTAACCATCATCTCTCATTGTAGCTTTATTCTGAATTTTTCCCCGCGACTTTTATACCATTACAACCATACATTATAAGGAAAAATCTTGTTAGCTGGGTAACAATTTTCCAGGCTTGTTAATCGATCCTTTTAAAAAGATCGAATCCTGATCTTTTCAAAAAAAAAGAGGATTGAAATCCAGGATCGACTACTTTTTAAAAAAGGATCACGTTCACGATCCTTTTCTTATTTAAATTTCTGAAGGAAATTTCTGATCGATAAATTAACTAATATAAAAATAAATTAAATATGGTATAAATTTATTGTATTTGAATAATATTATATAAGCATAACAAGAATATATTTATTTATAATTAAAATTAGCCTTTAATAATAAAATTTTTTCCAAGTTATTATTATTTAAACATCCACGTCTTTCATTAAGCACATGTTTAGCTTTACTAAAAAAAGCGTTCCACATCCTTGATAGCAAAGGTGTGTTATATTCAATAAATATATTTTTTTAAAATTAACATAAGTATTAAAAATATTCATTGATTCATCATTTGAATCAAAAAAAATTATAAATGGAACGAGTATTTTGTGAAGAATTTTTCCAAAAAAGGTATCTATTTCATCCATACATTCATTTGAAACATTTGCATGTGGTAGATGTTGATCCTGCATATTTTCTAAATGGGCAATTAATTTTTTTTTTACCAACAGATTTTGTGGCAGCTTAATATAAGGCCTATTTAGCTTAAATTTTTGGTGAATTATTGCTTCCAATATGTTACTGTCATCATACAGTGAAGGAAATTTATATTAAGAAATGATAATTTATAATAAGTGTTCGTTCATATAAGTCTGGTATCTGCAAAACTTAGCCCTTATTAACACATCAATAAATTTTTATTAATTATTGTAAATAATTCTTATGCGTATTGTTATGCTCTTCACAAATAAATAATAAAAACTTTATTTTTAAAAGTGTTAATTACTTCTAAATGCCTTTTGAGGTTCGAACTACTAATCTTTTAATAAGATATTTTGTTCTTACATAAAGAGCATTTTGCACTGATCATTGTTTAATTACTTCCATCCGTTTCACATAAAGTAAAATACTTACGTAAATTATGAAATGGTAAAAAAATCTCTTTCTCACTTGTCACATCAATAGTAGTTGTATCATCTTCTAAATCTATAATTGAGGACATTATTAAAACCTAGAATTTATTTATATTATATATAATATAATTAAATAAATAAAACTTATAGGCTCTAAATCTCGTTCTAGATAAAATTTAGGAAATTGTTGAAATATAAAATATGGTGGAATGGAAGTTGATAAAATATGATGCAGATAGATATTTTTTTTTAAAAATAATATTTTAATTTAATTTTCAAAATTTTTATTTTATTTATTGCTTTATAAGTAAAAAATTAATTTTTAAAAGGATCGGGATCGAATATTTAAAAAAATGATCTCGATCACGATCCTCAATTTAAGTCAGGATTATAAATCCGGGAAAATTAACAAATTTAGGATCGAATCCAGGATCAGTTATTTTTTGATTCGATTCTTTAATAACTCTGCAGTTTTCTAATTATGTTACTTTACGTTCTATTCCATAGACCACCCTACCTGACCCCGTTATCTCTAAGCCTGCTCCCTCCTCTAACAACAGTATCCCTAGTAGTTCGTCCTCCATCGATTCCAGCACTTCCGTGACATCTACAGACGTTTGTTCCATTCCCAAAATTAAAGACAAGATTGTTTTCAAGGATATCGATAATAAGAATGCTAGCGTGAAATTGGAACAGAATGAACTTAATAATTTTGAATTGGAGGGAAACGAGGATAATTCTGATGACCAATCGTGGGGTAGCGGACCTAGGAGGTCTTCTGTAAGGGTAAAATTATCTACAGTTTTTTTTAATTTTTATGTAGCGTCTAGAGAGGAAGAAGGCGAGGCCAAAGCAAATTGTAAAAAAAAACATATTTAAATAATTTATAAAGTGACTTTAAAACCAAAAAATGATTTTTAATTATGAAATTTATTACGTAAAAATCGATAAAATTAAGGATTAACTTTTCACATATTAAAACATGAATTGTAAACAATTTTCAAAGGAACGCATGGCTTGATTAATCCGTTTTAAGCTATTCTTTATTTTAATAAATAGAAGCAAGAATAAGAGATATAGGGGAGTGATAGATTTAATTTGATATTTTCATAACCTTACAAAGTCATATAAAGAACCTCTATAATACAATTTAAAAATATTTTATTCAGTTGGTATAATTTAAAAAAAAGAAGATAAAACACTAAAATATAAAACAACTTATAAAAATATGTTAAAATATATAAATGTATTCCAATTTTTAAAAAAAGATTTAAATATATGTGAGATAATTGAATAATTGGTTACAGAAAGTTTGTTATTTAAATCACCATTTATTTCTATTTTATGAATATACATCTAAAGTATAACAGCTTGTCGGAAGACCACCATAATGGAAAGAAACCCTTAGAGTCGTTCATGGAGAGATTTCTAAAACTAGAACGCTCCTATTACATCCTGCCTTCCCTTCATATGCAGCCAGTCAATAGCTTGGTGGAGAAGCTCAAGGATGAGGATCTAAATATCCTTCTTCCTTCAACAAATGACGATGCCAAAGAATATGAAGAAGATAAAGATGCCAATGCTATAAACCATTTTGAAGTTATCTGTATTAATGTCAACGAATATACAATTGGCATGGAAAAAAATAATGATGGTAAACAAATAGGTACTGTTACAAAAAAAATAGATTTGAGAATTATAAAAAAAAAATTTATTTTAAACTTTTTTTCATAGTTCCTGTTCAAAACGAAAAGTCGCTGGCACCGCCACCAAGTACATCTTTAGAAGGCCATGAAGAAAAAATGGATTGTACAGACATAAAGCCCGGCAGCCCTTCTAAAGCTAATACTTCTATTCAAAGCCAGTCATGTGGCAATACTAATTTTGATCAACCTTATTCTGCTTCTTTCCAACAAAACATGGGAGACTCAGATAAACCATATAGCATTTTAGGCAATGCCACATCTACTTCATCTACAACTCCTAACATTACCTTTCCATATTTGAGTAAATATTATATATTCTGATACTAATCTCATCATACTATTTATTTAACGTTTAATATTTACACCAGAAGACCTGCAGTTGTAAAATTTTTAACCCGCCCCTGATTTAAAAAAAATTATATTCAAGTCCAGCCCATAATTTTTATGGCTCGGATTTTTGATTTTGACCATATTTTGGCTCAACCCAAAATTTTGTTATTTTAAAAAAGTTTGGCTGCATTTTGCAAATTATTTTAAATTGGAAATATGATCAGTAGATGAAAAACGCTCCATGATATGATTTTCTACCTGATTAATTGATATATTTTAAAATTTCTATAAGCATACTATTTTTAGGTCGGTTCTGGGCTGGGACTGCAGGTCTCTGATTTAAACCTAATAACATATTTAAGAATGGAAAACTTTGTGATTGTATGTTATGAAATGATACTTTACAATTGCACATTGAGATTTAACTAATAAAAAATACTATAAAATTAAAATATGTTTTTCTTTTTACTTATCTATTTTATTATAATTTTTACCTGTTATTAGATGATTTAGAACCTCTTAAAGAAACCTGTTATACTCCTACCATCCCTATGTCACTCTCGACTTCATCTTCTAATCGACAAGCCTCCATAATATTGGCAAATCAAACCCCCACAGAAGGACTTGAATGCGACATGGATTTGGAAAGGGAGATCAAAGGCACGCTGGATTATTATAAAGTTTGTTATTATTTATAATTTTAAATCTTTAATAATCTTATTTGTTTTAAGGATTCCTACAGAGAATTTCTCATAAAAAGGACATTAACGGACTGAACTGTAAAACCGAAACGTACCATTATAATTGCCTGAATAATAATTAGGTCTGAACTATCATGCCAAAATTATAAAAAGAGTGAACTGATTTGTTATAAATTTTAAAAATGTTTTTTTGTAATGTAATCTTTTTTGGTGCTAATTATTGTGCCTACTAATATTATATTGGTTACCCCATCCTCAAAAGACTTTTTCTAATTCAAAATAACTCACAATTCACAACTAAATCTAAAATTATTTAATCATTATATAAATGAATTATATTCGTATTGCTACAAAATCCATTTTATACCAAAAGGTAATAAACAATATATTAAGTATCCCCCCAGTTTAATGTGTAAATTAGTGATCTGCATGGCCCGGACTAGTAAAAAATTATAGATTTCCCCAGCCCTAATGTTCATATAAATATATAATTTTTCTAGAGTTCACGACGTTATTTAACATAGTAACTTAGCTACATTTCGCTTTATGCAAAAATAATAATATTTTACGTTGCTTTTTAAAAAAAGTAATGCTATCACGTGGATTTTTAGAAAGTATCGCTATTAATTTACTTTTTGATACAATACTATGGAAAAAAAAGATTGAAATATTTGTTTCCTTTTATTTCGTTAATCTATAAATTTATTATACTTTTACTTCATTTAGTGGCCTTTTTCAAGTTTACATTTGCAGGTCATTTTCCCTTCTAATCCTCTTTCTTTTTTGCAGTCCTGGATATTGCCACTAGAGATCTGCTTAGGTCTCCTAATTCTATTTTTAATAATCGGGTTTGGGACGGGCCTAATTTTAAAAAAATCGGGCTGGTCGGGTCGGACTAGGGAATTTTTTTATTATGTCTAAATTTATCAATTTTTTATGTAAAATAAAAATATTTGATTTTATTTATTGAAACTAAACAACATATAACATATGTCTTTTATTTTGAGTAATTATAAAGATTAATTTCTATATTTAAATAAATTCAAGTCTGTTCGGTAAATTATTTTAAAAAAAATTTGGGGTTCGAGGCGGGGCAGCAAAACTTTTTTATAAAAATTCGGGTTCGGGCCGGGCTTGAAAAATTAGGCCCGAGGCAGATCACTAATTGCCACTGCGAACCTAGCATTATCATGTAATTATCTTAAACTTTCACCTAGCTTGCCTGGTAGCCATCTCGATCTAGTTCTCTCCACTTCCAATCAACATCTATTCATTCAATCGTCTTTTGCTTTCTGTTCAAAATGTTAAAACCATTTCACCCTATTTCTTCTCACGACATCACTTATTTTTATCCCAATCCTTTCCCTTAGTCTTGCTTGTTTTTCTCTCTCAGGGATATCCCACATATCTAACCATTCTCATCTTCTCGCTGCTTTACATCATACAACTCCTCACACATATTGTATAAAACCTTCCAAGCTAGCCCCTTCAATTTCAATAATTATTAGAAACATTATTTATTCTATATCAAAAACGAAATTTAACTCATTAGCAGTTACTATAATAACTGTTATGTATTTAATTGTTTATTTTATTGTTTTTGTATTTTTGTAAAATGTTTATTTTTATTATTTTGGCATTATCTTATGAATTTGCATGCACAAAATTAATGGGATTTCATGATAAATACAATAAAAGAAATATATTATTTGTCTAAATTATTACTAATATATGTTAACGGTAATACTAAAATATCTGTCGAAAATACTACAAATATGAACTAAATAAACTTTAATAACCAAGTCAATAATTGATAATTATGAGTAAGATATCAAATATCCTATGGCCTGTAGAAAATTTAAGCTCCAATTTCTTGAAAAAATTTCTATTCGTTTACTAATTTTCTAAAAATTTCTTCAATAATTATCGCGGCTGATTAATTGTTTAAAAATAATATCGTGAAAATGTTTAAAAAATAATATAGAAGGCGCTATATATGAACGTTTTAATGCAATAAAAAGTTCTTTTTATCTTTTAAAATCATTTTAAGACATTGTTATTGATTTGTCTAAAAAATATCTTTCTTGTAAAATATTAAACAATAATCTAACCATAACGATTAAAATATAATAAAATGTATAATAATGAGTAACTTAAAAAATAACGCAATCCTTAAATACATTATTTTTTTTTTAAATAGCAACGAAAAATACTAAATTTTTAAGATAAATGTAAAAGTATCAATATGATCAATTTCATTATTTTTTTGACCATAGTTTTTTTAAAAATTATTGTAGGTTTAGGCTAGGGTAAGTAAGCTTTATATAAATTATATTACGCTATATTACATAAAGGCTCAAACCTTGTCAGATGCCGTAGACCAAATGGCTAGTTATAGCTCTTCCAATCACGCGACACCCACTTTACACGCTCATAACTCATCCCTTACCAGCTCAAATTTATCCGATCCCACTATCGATTCCAATGATAACCCACGTAAAGTACAAAACAGTTTTGATGTCACAAAATCAGAGTTTGAGGAGCCCCACAAATCCAAAACGAATACAAATAATTTCTCCGCCAGCAATCTAGTCTACAAAATTCATTACGAGACTTTTGAACCAATGCAAATCGACATGTTGGCTGCTGAAAGCCAAAATCGTGATACTGGCCAATTTCGGATACCAATGGAAAACATAGCCAATAGCAATGAAGAGTGTATTCATGAAGAAGTGAGTATGGACCACCAAGCACATCATTTGATAGAGGAAGAGGAGAGAGAGGAAAAGAACGAGATGGAATCAAGCCACCGTGATGATATGAAAATGGATAAAGGTTAACTAGTGAATAGGAATTGTCTCCCCGATTTGGTCTTTCTATTTTTTGGCATTGGCAATCGTGTCTAGGACATTATTTTTAGGATGAGACTTAAGGCCGGATACTGTCCTATAAAAATTTTAAAAACTATTGCTTTTTAAAGCCGATTTTATGACAGGACGTATGCTAAGGCACATTTTTTCTTCAAATAATAAATGATATCAATGGGCAATTCCATGAGACCAAAATAACGTAATTGTCGGACAACCATTTTTTAAAATGGATGAAACTTGGCATGAAGTTTAAATAGATTGTATATTTTAAACAAATCAAAATTTTAATACCTTAGCTCAAATATATCTCTATGAGCCTTCAAAGTTCGATGAGAACTAGGGGTGTACCGATACCACTTTTGGAGGCCGATCCGATATTCCAGATATATATCGGCCGATTACCGATCCGATATCATATCTAATTTTTTATTCTCTAAAGATACCAATGGTTTTAATTTTTAATATACTTTTTATTAGTATAACATCTATAATTTAACTATACCATAACTTATGTCATTTAAATATATTATGATGATCAGTTATAGTTTATATTCAATTCAATTGCAATTCTAAAAGTATATAAAGTATTTTTATCTATATAATAATTAATAACATTAATCTATATATATTTATAAGTAATAAACAAATATATTATCAAATTTGAAATAAATATTTAAAATAATATTTAACATTAACGAAGATTTCTTTATAGAAACAAAATTTCCAATTTATCAGAGACCTGCGGCGATGGTAACTGTCAACAGCTTCACTAAAAACAGATTCTGAAGAGATTATCGCACACTTTTATAAACAGAATGCGCAAAAAAATAACACAGAATGTTTATTAATTAATTATTATTAAAAAAATATACATAGAAATGGATTTCGATTTATTTATAAAAATAAATGATTTTAGATATTACTTTTATAATATTGGCCGATAACCGATATTCCAAAATGGGTAAAATATCGGCCCGATCCGATAAAAAATATCGTTACATCCCTAACTTTTCCTCTTTTCACGAATCTTAAAATACTCAAAATATTTTTGGCCTAAGTAACAAATTTTATATCATTTTGTAGCTCTTAAAATTCCTTAAGAAAATGCAAAAATTATTTTAAAAATATCTTCAGTATTTATAATTTTGAAAAGTGCTTCATTTAAAATGATGAAACTCATGGAATATGTTTATTACCAATATATTTATATATTTAAGTAAAAAATATTAATGGAGAAAATAAATTTCATTTAGTTTTTATAAGTTTATTAATAAAAAAACACTTATAGAGGGCGTCATTTTTATAGTTAATTTATAATATATTTTATATAAAGATATACATTTTATATTGTAAATATAAATTCATATTTCTATAAAGTTATTATATACACTAGAAATATTAAAAATACATATTTTTATGCCCCAATAAAATGAATATATATTTATAATTATCTTTATAGATAGCATCATCTATAATTGCTTTTTTTCTCTAAAATTATAACTAAATAAAATTTTACTTTCTTATTTTCTACTTAAATATTTAAATATACAGGTAATAAACTTATTTGATGAGTTTTATCGTTTCAGACGTTCTTTATAATTGATTTTTCTTTTCAAAAAATTATAGAAAATCTAAATTATTTTCTCCATTAATATTTTAACTTAAATACATAAATAAATAAAAAATCATGAATTTCAATATTTTAAATAAGGCACTTAAAAAATTTTTATGTTTTGTTTTATCGGAAATACGACATTGAAGACATTTTTAAAACAATTTATGCAATTTTAAGGGCTACTAATTGATATAGACCAAAAATATTTTTAGTATTTTAAGATTCGATTAAAAGAGATAAGGCTCTCATCTAACTTTGAAGGCCAATAACACTGATATATTTGAGCTAGGGCATTTAAATTTGATTTGTATAAAGTATACAATCTATTTAAACTTTATGCCAAGTTTCATTCATTTTAAAAATGGTCGATTTGTCAGGGAATTACCCTAATACTAACAATTCTAATTTTATTTAAATGTATAATAAAAATATAATATTATGTAATATAAAAATAAATCGTTAGTTCTCAATCAATTATGATCATCTGTAAATTTCTAGCATCATCAATCATTGTACCATTTTTGGAGATATTCTGTTTCCTTTTTGCTTTTCAGGTCTCCTACTTTTAATAAAACTTTTCACTTGACACAGATTCGTCTTTTATAAGTAAATAACCTCTAGCCATAAGAGGAAAGTGGCATTCATAGAATTTTCACTTAAGTAAGAATATCAATTGTATATAAATTATTGGACAAATAAGCTTGTAACTCGACATCTTCAAGGCTTTTGCCAATTATTTCACTTTTAGTAATGCTATATATTAGTATAATAACTTAATGTATAATATAAGTTGATACAAAATAATTAATCAAACTTTATTTTCTATTGATAATCTTGAATTAAAATCTAATAAAAATTCTTAGGACTTGGGATATTTTTTTATATTTAAAAAGTTATTAAAGCAGTAATGGGTCTAAAAAACTCTCTATATAGTTTTCTATATTGAGAAAACCATTAATATAATAATTTCATTTAAAAAGTGCTGCATCATTCTGAGCTGTAGTGTAGACACCTTAACGTTGATAAAATAATATTTTCATTGATATTTTTTATAAGGTCATATACATTTTCAATTAGCGTCAAGCAAATACCTTTGTAATGTAGAAATAGTAACCCTTATCACCAATAAATAAATTTTATTAATAATCTAAATCTTTTTTAAAAAAGCTAACCATTACTTCAATTCAATCTCAAATATTTAAGTTCCTTTTTATAATCGAATTTATAATTCTTCCAGTTATTTATGTCTTTTCATCTACTTATTACACAATAACAATAATACTCCCCTCTTCTATATCCAGAGTAATGAATAACTGATGATAAAAAACTTAGACAATATTTACCATTTTCATTTATATTTAAAGTACAAAATTTAAAAATTAGAATATAATTTGTCTATTAAATATATATTAAAAATCGGTTTTTATGTCAAGACGAACGCGTCTTCTAAAGCATTATAAAGAACAGGCCGTTTTTTAAAACCGATTTTCAAAGATGGATTGGAATGGGATTCACTAATTAACAAATTATATGGAATTTTTATAGGAATTTTTTTTCTAAAATAGTTTTATTCAAGTTCTTTATCCCAAAAGATAATTTATAAATGAGTTGCATAAACCAAATAATCCTAATAATTACGAATACCTACATTTTGATTTTATTTAATATGATTTAGGATTACTTTAAAAATAATAGGGATCTATACAGGCCCCGACTTTTAAATTCTATTTTTCGAAACATTTGTTAAGTCAAAAGATATTTTTTACAAACCCAGGTCAGAACTATAATTAAATACTTCTGCTGTAAATCGAATATTTAAAAATATTCTATAATTTTATTTACATAGGGGGGGGGGGATTTTTTTAAATATTCCTAAAAAAAGGTAATGATCGAATTATTAGATTGTAATAAAATTGTAGTAAAAAATTTTTTAAAATCTTGTTTCTTCAGCTAAGCCACTTCCGCTTAGGTTCTAGCAATTTGTTTATTTTTTTAATTTAGGAATAAGTTGTTTGGAAATTTTTTTTTGGGATTCCGATACACTCAATGTTTTCTTTAATAATCACTTAATACCGATTTTTCCTCTATGGTGAGTTTATTTGAGATATTTTTTGTTTACCTTAATATAATCGTATTTTGGTGAAGTAATATTTTTTATTTTCTTTTAGCAAAGAAAAACGGATGAGCTTAAACTTTAGGTATTTAGACTGTTCTCATAGGGTTATGATTTTTAGGGTAACACAAGAAGTATTTATCTTTTTTTAAAATTTCAAATATAATAAAAAAAATTGTTAAATAATAATTTGCAAATTCAAAAAACTGATATACATCTTTACTAGTGACTACTAAAAATAGTAGGATAATATAAAGAAAAATTATGGAAATATTTTTAGACAATTTAAATAAATATTATATTTTGTCGATCAAAATATATGATGAACGCAGAATAATGATTGCGCTAAATTATATAATCGTTTTTTAATGAATTTTTTTTATAAGAACTACTAGAAAAGACTGGTGAATCTCACACTAATAATAGAAACATGACGACATTTATAAACTATTCTTTGACCAATAAAACTTTACTCCCTACGAATTCTTCTGACTCCATCGAACAACCCCATTCCCCAAATTTACCCCGAAACGATTCTCAGCCATCCATATGTAACGGAATGCATGATAAGAACATAAGTAATAAAAGACGATCGACCGAGGAGATAAATTTGGAAGATGCCTGTCTACTTTCCGACTTGTTCTATCTGCCATTCGAGCACGGACCAGCCGGACAAGAATTGCTGGACGAATTTCACTGGCTCAAATCTAACGCACTCTCTTTTTTAACCGATTTTAAAGATATTGGACTGGGAGAAGATTCTGAAATTTTTAAGGAAAACGACATTGGTAACAGAAACCTACCTATTAACGTTAAACAAGAGGGCGGTAACGATAAAAATGTGGATGATAACAATAGATATGGCCCTAGTGGAAGCAAGGAGAAGCCTAGAATAAGGAAATGGACCACCTACTTCAGGGCTAAAAAGAAAGGAGGAGAAATTGATACCACAGTTAAAAATGAAGGTATAATTGTTGATAACCTATAGTTATATTATTTTAGTTTTGATTTAATCGTATGCACTTGGCAACATCTCTTAGATAAGGGGTATGACCTACCTTAAAATCTTTAGATTTCTGGTTAGTTGTGTACATCACTAACTTAAATAATAATATAAATTATCTATTTTAAACATTGTCAAAAATTTTATTCCATATTTTTTTTAAATTGTTTGGTATTTTAGATACCTTTATTTATTTTTTTACTTCTTAAAGCAGATACCACTAAATCCGACTCCCATCCCATTACATTAGACCAGTCTACACATAAAAACCTTAAAAATATGCCTACATCTGCACTGAATAACGAATGGACCGAAAGGGCGCAAGCTTTCGACAATAGATGCAAGACCATCATATCTTTATGCACAAAAATGATCAAGGTTATTGTGATTTTTATATTATTAGTTATTTGTTTCAATTCCTCATATACAATTTTGATGAGGTATTTTTTTTATTTTGCTCTTTTTAAAATATATCTAAAGTTGGCTGAACAAATTAGAAGCACTCACCCTAAGATCTATGCCAATATTTCATGTATTAATTTAATACGTATGAAGACTAACCAATAAAGTAACTGGGTCATTCCATTAATCAACCAGTGTTTCATACGACCATCTCAAAAATGAATGAAACTTGGCTCTTATTATTTCATTAAAAGGCAAAAGATGGATGGTGATAGTCCTTGGGGATGTAAAAAAGATTATCTCCTCAGTAATTTTTCATTTTTTTAGTAATATATCTAACCACCAAAAATCGTCACAAACACATGTTACGAATCCTTTAATATCAACAAAAGGCAAATTTTCGGCATTTAAGATAATGTTAATCTTAAGGTCCTCTGCCTATGAATAAAATTTCGATTTAATTTCACTTAAACTCAAAGAAAATACAGCATATATTTCCAGAGTTCCTGAAATGAGGCAAGCTAAATTGATCTTTCTCGTAGTTTAATCTCTTTTAAATCGTATTGTTCGTTAAAATTTAGTGATGGCATGTTTTGTTCTACAAACTGATATAAATCCACTGTTGTTAAAATATGTCTGGAATTGGTGCAATGAAGGCTTGAACGTGCTCCAAATCTCTTTAATATCCCTCCAAGGCCGTCGCATCGCCTATACTATGAAATATAGCTAAAAATGCCATTCGCTATATATATTATTTTAGATTTTTAAAAATAATAAAAATTTAAATAAAATTAAAAAACAAAAGGACGCTCTCGATTTTTTTGATTAAATAGTTAAATATAAAGGTAATAAACGAATATCAACACCCAAAATAATCCCTTCTCAACATTTTTCATTTTTACTAAAAATAAGATAACCCTTGGAATTTATTAAATATTTTTGATATTTTTTTAATGTATTTTAAGGGCTATAATAATTTTTGACTTTAGTATTTAATTTCAATTGAAATTTTATGAAATCACGCATTACGCGATTAACTGAAGTTGGATACGATGACCAAAATGACAGCTAAGTCTGGTCCCCCACTCCCAATCTTTGACAATCCCGGACCACCGAACTCCGTCGATCCCTCCCCCTCTCCGATAGTTGAACAGCCAATGATCGTGGCTTCAACCATTTCAATAATTTTATAATTTAGTAGCGGCAGCATAGAAGTAGTTAGAAATCTGCAAAGTACGGTACGTTAAGAATTTTTGCACAAGTTGCCTGGCACGGTTCGTTATAATTTTACAAAAAATTCTCCGCGATAAATTTTTTTGAAACAATTTTCCTGCTATTGCATTTTTTAATATGTCAATTAAGACTATTATATCTATCCTCTATGGCTATCTATTTCTACAATTTTTTTATAGATCAATTGTGTTCGATATTTTTAGTTGGATCATAGAATAGATAACTTGTTTAATTTTTAGTAAATTTACTTTACTGTATTATTTATAGATTTAGTATTTGACAACTCTTAAAATACAAAAAATAATCATATCTTAATTTATTTTCAAATAGTATAATCAAAATATTTGCTTAAAATTAAATAATATATGGTCCCACGTCATTACAGAGAATGTATTTTACAGAGAAAACAAAAATAGAGAATGCACTTATAGAGAAAACAATTATAAATGTCGAATAGAATGACATTTATAGAGAAAACAATTATAGAGAATATTTTATAAAGAGTTTTATTTAAAGGATATGATAATTTTATAAAAAATTTCATATCTATATAATATAAAACATTTTTGTGTAATTTAAGCTCTGCATAGTCATAGGGGAAAAATTACAGTATTTGAAAAATATTAAATATTAGAATGACCTTATATAAGCGAATAATAGGGTAGTTTTTATTGTTATAAAATTATTACAATCGGCACAAATTGATTATCTTTGTATAAGGTTTTTCGATTATTAGAAAAATTAATAGTAGGACAAAATTTTGGCATGGTTTGTGAGGAATTCGCGAAATTTATTTTTAAAGTTAAGAATATAAAATAAAATAGATAGTGTTGTTAAAAGTTACTTTGGCAATGTAACTTGTAATTAGTTAAGTTAGTAGTTAAATTGGGAAATATAACTAGTTACGGTTACTAGTTTCCTTTTTTAAATATAACTAGTCACTAGTTACAATTATTTTTCATAAGTAACTAGCAATAGTTACTTTATAAAATATTAATAGAGCGCATCATTGAGATAAAAATTAGATGAATCATAAAACCATTATCCCCACTATTTATGTTCTGATGACATCATGTGCCAAAAAGATTACGTTAATATTTTCAATCAAATTAACCAAATTTTTTTAAATCGTAAATTCATCATGATCGACTTTGAATAGCAGCGTTATCTGCTTTTAAACAGTCGTTTCTACTGAATGCAATGCGCGGATGCCTGTTTCATATGTCGCAAAGCATATGGCCCACGGTTTAAAAAAATCAGCTAATTTGCAATACATACAAAACAAACAAATTTTGCTATGTACATAAAAATGTTAAAGTCACTAGCATATGTACCATTTGAGGATGTAATTCATGGATTCGAGGGATTATGTGCCTCTGAATTCTATCAAGAAAATAGGGATATTCTCGCCCCACTGATATACTTTGAAGAGATGTGGATTGGAAAAATGATAGCGATGGAGAGGAGATCGCCAAGCTTTCGCATTTCTCAATGGAATTGCTACGAATCGACACTATATCGTGAACCGAATATCAATAATTCAATAGAAGGCTTATCGAAGTTTTTCGTCTCATATAAGCTCCCATCATTATAAAAAGTTAGTAAATTATATTATAAATTTTAAAAGCATTTTCATTTTAAGCTATCAAAGATGATGGTATCCTGAATTAGGACAATTGGCTCCACTGTCAATGAAAAATTATCGCGAAAGATCCAAAAGGATTTTTCTAATTGTTGTAGATGTTTATTCAAGAACCATGCTGGATTATTTAAGGGCTTTATCCCACAATATATTAATTCAATTATATAATTGTATTTTTTATATTGGTATATTATTTATACTGTTTATTTCGATTTATTAACAATAAAATTTTATTTGATATTTCGAAATAAATATTGCTAAGCTCTTATTTAGTAGATTATCTAGGTTTATTTTATAAAAACTTCATATACAAATGATATTAATCATATTCTTTATAAAATAATTCTCAAAATACATTCTCTATAAAATTATTCTCTATAAAATCATTTTCTATAAAATCATTTTCTATAAAATCATTTTCTATAAAATCATTTTCTATAAAATCATTCTCTGTAAAATACATTCTCTATAAAATAATTCTCTATAAACGACATTCTCTATAATTGTTTTCTCTGTAATGGTTTCTCTGTAATGACGGGATACCAAAAAATATATTAAGATTTTAATCCAGGTCCTACATAATTTTTTATGTTGAGCACTAAATGTTCGGCACTTACGAGCAGAGCTTTGCAGATCTCTAGTAGCTTGATAATACAAATAAATTATGCACCTTTTATCACCAAATGGGATTAAATTTTTTAGTATAATTTAGTACATGTTTTTTATGGAGGGAAGATAATTACTGATAAATTTTCCCACTATATAGTTACCCGGAGAAGTTATTATTAATTCGAAAAATAAGATACTATAATAATTAGTAAACATGTTAGTAATCTCTTCAATTTATAAATTCAAGGTCCGTAACAAAGCCGTTCTTTTCGAATTTTTCCCTTACGTATGGGACCTCAAAGGGGTTTTGACCTTGGTTAGAGGATTCCTAAGCTGGTTAGCTTTAGGAATATTTCCCACCAGGCCCCTTACTTCCGCTACCCTCAATGGTTCACCTTTTTTTTGCAATACTTCCAGCACTTACAACGCCTTCACGTCATACGGTAATGATTAATTTATAATAATTCTCACAAAAAATTTAAATTAGACCGATTTTATAAAACTTATTATATGACTAATTAGATTCACTGTCCCTCCCTCCTTCGCCCCCATCACAAAACCTTTCTTCTGCAAACGCTTATAATAGATCTACTCGCTCATCCGTCTTTATCAAACATTTATCAGAATTGTTGGAAGAGAGATACTCTTGGAACGCATATTACGGTAAAGGATTTTCTATAGTTGCTAAGTCCACTTATTCCACTATAAACAGTTTTGCTTACGGCACTGCTGCCACAAATGCCGCCACGAATCATAATTCTAACGCTATAATAACGAACATCAATAACGACCCTAAAAGTACTTATTTATTACCTAACTCCAACCCTTCAGACAATTTTGAAAATTTGTTTAGTCCCAACGATAATAGTACTAAATACGACATGTCTAACCGTAACGCCAAAGAAGAAGGTAGTTTAATTGAGAAAGGGGAGATGGGACTGGATATAAAAATCGATCATAATGAATCTAACACACACATTGAAAAACAGAAAGGAAGTGATAAAAGTATGTCCAGTAATACGAAATGGGAATCAGGCTCGATAGATGAAAAGGAAATTAGTGATAACGGAAAAGATAAACGTGCAAATGTTATAAACAATGATAATCACTTTGACGAAAAAAACGATGATTCCATAATCGCAAATATTGTAAATAGTGTACCGATAAGAGCAGAAAATCACGATTATAACCAAGCGTCGAAAATGGTCATCGAGGAAACTGCCGGTATCTATTTTAGTTTGTAATATCGAGAACGAATTTTAAACGTTATTCCTAAAAAAAATTTATTTATTTAAATTAAAATGAATTTTAAAAAATTATTTATACATCTTGATTATTCCGAATATCACGATTTCAAAAAGAGTATCTGGATAATTTGAGCAAATGTTATAAATTAGTGTTCAAATTAGATGAATTTTACTTTTATCCTATATTATTGTTATTTTATATAAAGCAGATCATATAGTTCTTCTTTTTCTACCTCGTTTAATGACTTTTTTCCAGTTTTACCAGGGTAAACCAGTTTCCCCTAACACCCCTTTTCTCCACTTTTTACATTCCTATCGCCATTTGTATAACTTATTCTCATGTCATTTTTATTACTGTCATTACGTTTTCGTTAGTCTTTCTGAGGCCTATCACATTACTTCCATCGAAGTGCATCTTTTCATCCAATCACCTTTTGTTCAACATGCCCAAATCACTTCATTTTATTCTTTGCTTCTATCCGATCGCTTCTATTGATACCCCAAACAGTCATCTAGCCACTTATCTCCATTCTTTCCAATTTAGCTTTGCCTGCTACTTTTATTTTCCACTTTCGTCACCGCATATTATTCTGCATCTCACACAGCTTACATAAACTTTTCCTCTCAACTTATACATTTTTATTTGTTGGAATATCTTGTGAGACTTTTTCCATGCATATCTGGCCCTTGCAATAACAGCAGAATCAACATTTCCATCTACATTCAGCATGTCACCCTAATAAAACTTTTACACTTTTCCCAAAAGGAGCTCCATATCATTTTCTTATAAACTACTCTTATCTACATTATCATTCTTATGATCCCTTTCACGCATGTTCTAAATACAATGTGCTTGCTTTCACTAGGCTTCCACTCTCATTACATCTTTTGGGCATTCACATCCTTCTCACACAAACCAAGTGCCTGGTTCATTCTTATTTCCTCATTCTTTGCCTCCAATCATTTTACTCTTTCTTTCATTCACTTTTAAACCTTTTGCTTCCGCCATCTGGCATATGATTAATTTAGTCTTTTAACTCAGCTCATTAAAATAGACAAGTTCTATGGTATTCCTCTACGTACTTCTCTCTTTACCATCCTTACTACAGTGGCATAACTAGGATTTATCTAGGGGATTGGGTTACAAAATTTTTTATTCCCAGAAACTTTGATATCTTTTTTTTAATTTTTCCGTGATTATTTTTATTTTGCTTTTTTAAAATATGTAACATCTGTATATCATCTCCCGTTAACGTTGACTGAAAAATTGAAATCACTAATTCTATATAAGCAGTAAAGAAAAAATTGATCATGCCAGAATGGAAAAGAAAAACTACATATCTGGTTTTCGTTAATATTTAATGCCTGACGAGCTATTGATTCCTTAATCAGTTTTGCACGCCACAAAAGAGAAACCGAGTTATAAACCTTTATGGAGGTATCTTAAGGCGAGCATCCCAGGAACTGGAATAAAATCTTCCCTCTCATTTATATATATGTGAATATTCTTATTTTCGTAATATTAAAAATATGTCAAATTTAATTAAATTTTTAAGTGAGATAAATTTATATAGAACTATTTTTGCTTTTCCTTAAAATTATATATATCTATATTATCATTGTTTATATATTATGTTTATTCAAATAAACTGCTTATTATCTAGTATTTGATTTAATAGTCCTAACTTAGTACCTCCAATATAGCATACACCTTTTTAGAATTTTTAAATAATATACTCTATTTTTAATGTAAAATTCAAAAAATTTCCACCCCATATCCACACGAACGCATATTTATTATTTTTAAATAAAAAAATAATATTAAAAATTTCACCGTTTCAGTGACTTACCCTAATCAGTAAGGGTATGCTGTGTAGAAGAAACATTTAGTTAGTAATAAATAATTAGATTCGGGTTAACAAATATATTGATGTATTATCTTAAGTCAATGCTTTCAATCAAAATATTCCACTACCAGCGTCGACTCCCGAATACCTTTCGAACATCATACCAGATACTACTATTCAAAAATCCGTAAACAGCGTTGACTTTACGTCTCCCACCATTGGATGTGACAATAATTTAAACAATCCGAATAACTTGATAATTAATTCGTCATTATGTCCCGTTAATCCAAATCCAACTGGTATTTTACCCGTAGCCAATAATTTCGCAAGTTCCAATACCGTGTCTGAACCGGCTATCATAAGAGGAGGGTTGCAGGCCGAATTTCACAGAATGTTGCCACTTGATACATGCATTGACCTTTTCTGTCACAGGCCTCCTTACCCTCCCATCAAGACAACTTATACCATAAGGCCTTATAATAGTTTGACCGATGAAGTACAATATTATATTTATTAGATATATAGAAAGCATTAAATATGCTTATGAAATATGTTCATTCTTCAATAAAAGGTTACTAGATACCAGAGTTGTTAAAGTATCTAGATACTGTATCTAGATATAAAAATGTAGTATCTGTATCTGTATCAAGATAGATTTTTTAGAAAGGTATCTGTATCTAGATATTTTTTTAGAGGTATCTGTATCTGTTTTTAGATACTTTTTAAGATACATTTTATATACCCCTTTTTTTATTGTAAATAAAAATATTTGACTGTAAAATTTATTTTATTTCATATGAGCTTATGAAATAAATAAATAAATATATATTATATATTAATATTTATTAATACTATAATAAAGAATTATATATACATAAAATATTAAAACTTATATATAAAAAATATATATAAATATTCATTAATTTAAATATTATGTCCGAGTTTATCAATAAACCATACAAATTTTAATATTACAATATGGAAATGGTAAATTTTATTTTATAACTAAATTTTTAAGTTTATATATTTATTTAGATCTATATCGATGAAGAAGAGGAAGCAACAAGTTCTATTGCTTTACCATTGCCAAATTGAGCATATTTTAAAATAATATCTCAAAACAAAGAAAACAATTAATTCTCTGATGGTAAAAGGTTTGCCGTGTCTACCTAAAAATACAAAAATATCCGTCAGTATGACTTCAACGTGCAATATCGTGAAGCACATAAGGGTATAGATATTATATATTTAAAATTCTAATTAAAATTTTAAGAGAAAATATCCAACCTTGTTAACAAAAATAAAAAAGGGGAAGGAAAATAAAATACTAAAGAAAATATTGGCAAGGCTCATCCTCCAATAATATTTTTGCTAAAAGACCTTTGACTTTAACTCAAGGCACTTTAGATGATTTAATTATTGCTTTTATTATAGATGGCATGCAGCCATTATAAAAGAAAACAATTGATACAAAGATTAGCTGGTGAATTATCAAAGTCATCAACTGACTGCAAGCAAATAACCTGCCAAAAAAAACAAATAATTTAATTTCAGATTTTTTCAGTACCCTACAGCAGATATAATTTCTAATAATGATTTAAATTTTGATAATCAACAAATTTTAAATAACTTTTTCAAAAATAAATGTAGAGATTTTAGCATTTTTAAAGAACTGATATAAAATTGTTATTTATTAAATATAACACTACAATTCCTTCAAGCGCCCCTGTGGAAAGACTATTTAGTGTTGCTAAAAATGTCTTCACAGATAAACGAGGATGCCTAAATGATCAAAATTTTGAAAATATTTTATTACTGAAATCTAATAATTATTTAATCATATATTTTCATATATTATATTAAAATTATAATTTTAGTTATATTCTGATAAATGTTATATCGCGTCAATAAATTTTTAGCTCATTTCATGAATTTTCACAATATAATATTAATTTAGGTTTATGCAAACCTATAAGAGCATAATAAATGTATCTGTATAATAAATGTATCTGTATACAGATACATTTAAAAATTGTATCTGTATCTTGATAACTTTTTAGACGCTGTATCTGTATCTAGATAACTTTTGAGACTATGTATCTGTATCTGTATCTAGATCCATTTAAAAAGTATCTTTTAACAACTCTGCTAGATACATTCATTTTGAGAAAGAATAATTGTAAACAATCACCAACCCGGCTAAGGCCTATAATTTTAAAACATGGGCATGGCTCAAAATTTTTTATAAAAAAACCCTGGCCTTGTAATAGGTAATCTTTAAATCTCTGATTTGTTTATTATACATGATATAGGTATTTAAAATTCGGCCCACCCAGGTTTAAAAATTTAAGTCCCGGCCCGAGTTTGTAAAAAAAATATAGGAATTGGTTTAATTATTTTTAAATAAAATTTACGGCCATTTCACCCGGGCCTGAAAGTCTCTGATCTATAGCATATATTATACATTTTTCATATGCCCCCCCCCCTCCCATCGAAAATTAAATATAAATATTTTATTTTGTAACTATCGCAAATGTTAAAAAATGAATAATTAAAAGATAACTCTTGCTAGAAACAGAGTTTGATTTTGAAAAATGGAAAGTATTTCTGATGATATTTTGTGAGTGATGGTAAATAATTGTTATATTGCAGGGATGTGAACCCGGACCCTGAACCCTCCCCAACCCTCGTATAATTGGCTGTACCCGGACCCTTTTTAAAAGTGGAGGGTCCAAAGGTTCTAGATTTCATAAAAAATATAATTTTTATTAACTTTTTTTCGTGGAATCATTCTTCGCGTTTTTCTTTCAACTTACTTTCTGGACTTCCATTTTATTTAGAGATTGATATCATAAATTATTTTCTAGTGTGTAATAGTATTTTATTATGTAAATATATTAATAGATTTCCCCATAAATATATATTGCATCAGATGTGCAGCTTATACTGCTATTAATGATTGCCTAAAAAATTATCACTTTAAAACTATCATTGATAAAGCAGGGATGTTGCAAAATTTTTAAGAATCCTCACAATTGTAGGAATATTAAAATCAACGAAAAGGTCAATGGCAATATTAGTTTGCACAACACGTTGGTCCTCCTTTATATGATGCTAGAACGATTATTAAGTTTGAAAGATTTCTGTAATGATTTTATTATAGGAGTAAATGAAGTCATTTTGTCGGAAGATGATTGGTGCCAAATAAAGGACCTTACTAGTGTATTAGTTCCTTTAAAAATAACAGCACCAAGATTACAATCAGAACATTTATGTTTAACTGATTTTTATGGCATATTGATTAGATGCCAATTAGATTTTGAAATATTTACTAGTTATTTTTTATACGAAATATTAGAAAACATTAAAATTCGAGAGCAACAATATTTGCACAATAGTGTTGTATACGCTTCTATATATTTAGACCCTCGATATTAAGTTTTATTGAGTATTGAGCAAAAACAAATGGCTAAAGACCATCTTAAGGATTTATAGCATACGCAAAACTCCATTATTTACAACATATTGGAGACTACGATAATAATACCAACTGGTTGTAATGATAATAATAATATTGATAGCAACATTGATAATCTTGAAATTTTACTTTTGAAAAAAAATCAAATTATCAACTGATAGAGGAGGATCAAAAAATGCCTATTACATCTTTGATAGAAAAGTTCTCAGAAGTTAAGAAAATAAATAAGGATACAAAATTCTTCAATATATTCAGAATTATATATCTTGTCTAGAATGGCTGTACCGGCCACACAAATACAGTAATTTATGTAATATAATATAAAGATAACTCTATTTTTGCTAAGCGTAGAACGTGGATTTTCCTCTTTGAAATATATATTCTAATTTACGTGGAAATCTCAAGGATGATATTTTGCAAGATAATAAAACATTTAAAATATAAATTATTTCATTTTAGAGATTTTTTATGTTCCCTGAACCCGGACCCTTTATAAATTTTATTACTGTACCAGGACCTGGACCCTTTTTTTTGTTGAAGGGTTCACATCCCTGGTAATTTGATATCATGAGAAAAATAGAATAATATAATTTATCAAAAGAACAAATTATATAGCTCTAGGCAGAGTTGGGCAGGTCCTCCGAAAAAAGAATTTAGATACAGATACAGATTCTTTGTGAAAAAATGAATCTTAGCTATAGATACTAGTATCTTTTTCAAAATATCAAAAAGATACAAGATAAAAGATACTTTTATCTTTTGCCTAATTAGAATATCTTAAATACAAGATACTTTTAAATTATCATTATCAATTAAATTAGAATAGTTTATAAAATACAGTTTTTATTATTTATTTGTGAAGAACATAACATACGCATATAATAAGAATGAATATTTATAATAATTAATAAAATATTTAATGATGAGTTAATAATAATAATCAGACATTTTAATATTCGTAATAGCCCATTCTTAGCATATAGGGAAGGGAGACTAGTATTTTTAATGGGAGTTGAAATATTAATTTGCAAAAGAGTATTTAAAATAGATTCATTATTTTATAAGATAGTCAAATTTTTCAAATAATTTTTCATTAGATACTTAACATTTTCCAAAACTAAATTACCTTTCAAATGGAGCTGATTAAAGTATTGAAGTATTATATTTATAAAAAATTTTCTTAATGAAAGGATAATAATAAGTATTTATAATGTATTTCGACTTTCTTTAATATAATTTAAAACCTCCGGTTCAATGTTATTTGTATTATTGAACTCAGCATGTTTCACCAATAAAATAATAATCATCATTTGGTTATTAGATGTTAAATCTATCGGTGTTATAGTTTGAGTGATTATATACTCTTGTACTACATTTAGGGCTTCTTTTATTAATATATTGAAAGTATTTATTTTTATCATCTGACTTAATCCAATATGGATGTGATATTGTTGTCAAAAAAGCCTCATTATATTCAAATCATAGGAAAATATTTTTTATAATCTATTGCCCATACCACCTTAGGCAGCTTTTAATAAAGGTAGCAATATTTAAACTTGAATATTTAAGATAACCTATGCCCCTTTTAACCACAAATAAATAATATACTTTAATATGTTTAACATAATTTATGTTTCACCATTTATCATTTTTTTGTTTATACAGGTTTTACAACTAGTCTGTACATTGTCTTTTTTAAGTTTAATTTTTAAAAAATTTTAAGATTTGGATTTGATTCACGGGAACTTATTTCCATAATTTAAATTTCAGTACCATGAGTGTTAATTATCCTAAAAATTAAAAAAACATTGCATAAATATAAAATATAATCTTTACGTATTTCGTTTTGGTATTGTTAGTTTTTATTTATCTACCTTAAATACAAGATTCTCGAAGAAAATAAGATATATACTGAGATATGTAAAATTTTAAATATGAATATTAAAAAGAATCTGTCTGTATCTTTTGTCAAGAAAATGAAAAAGATACTAGATTCTTTTCAGTATAAAAGATCTTATAACAGATACTAGATTCTTTTCAGAATAAAGGATCTTATAACAGATACTAGTATCTTATTAAAAATGTCAAAAAGGAGTACAGGATACAAAAGTATCTTATATCTTAGATACAATCTATTTGCGGTACTACCCAACTCTGGCTCTAGGTTAGGATACCCTACAGTCAACACATACTGGAATACATTTCAGGTTGATTTAAAAAATTAAGAGATTCATAATTCCTATGGATTCGGAATTGACACATATTTGTAAAAAGTTGACTTATATAGAGTAAAGTTAAAATGATTAGTTAAGGTAATATTTATAACTATCAAATCAGGATTTTTTATTTTCAATATTAAGAAATTTTATTGCTCTATTCATGCTAGGATGCCATATACAAAATTTGCCGTTTAACCTACGACGACGGAAAGGATGCGACTCATTGGTTCGCGGATCATATGGATTTACCTGGGGATTAGTAATGAAATTAATTTTCTTTTTTATGCTTGCATTTTTTAACGTATTTTAATATTTTTTACTTTAATCATTCTTCTCTTACACTTCTTTTTTTTACAAATCATTCTGACTTAATTGTTATATGAAAAGGTGAGAAAGCAATTAACTTGCGGGATTTTCTCCTTTTTTCATTTTAATATTATTCTCCATTTTATCTCTCTTTTCTATCTTTTATTTCAATCTTATTTCTTACATTTCCTACATCTAATTTCTTCCATATTTTAAATTCTGACCTCGGCTCCTAGCATCAACGTAAATGATTTAGTGCTTTCTCGAGGCATACAGCTGAATTTTTATCCTTTTTCTCTCTATTTTTATTCATCTTTCATTTCGTTTCATTCAATTTATTTATATACCTTTCCCTCTCCCATTTTTTTACACTATCAAATTTGTTTAATATTTTTAAGCCTAGCCTCAGCCTTTCTCACATTGACTCCTTCCACCTGTTTTGTCCTCGAGACCCAAGAGCATAATCAGCTTACAGGTTTCGCTCTTTGTGCACCGGATTCAAAAAAATTTCTCGATTGTTTTGAGATTTCTGTCCTTCCCCATGTGACAGCCCGTTATTCTGGTCAATCATTAACCTCTATCTTTGCCCGCGATTCGCGTGATTTGTACGAAGTGACCAAAAATAGCGAAAATATGTTACTGAATACGGAAAAAGGCGAAAAAGATGACACAGCTATGGATATACCTAGTCACGCTGAAGTAAATAATATGTATTATTTTATCTATTGTGGCTCTTTCTTTACAAATCCAATCGTTAGTTTTTTATAGGCCTACTAATTTATAAAATTTGGTGATAAATTTTATATGATTTAAATATATCTTTTTCAGGACTTGATCAAAACAAGATTCACCGATTACAAGAGGTACCTACCCTCCAAATTGCTTCAACATTATCCTTCGTTGGTCCAGTTTGCCTTTCTCCCAAGCGTAAACGATTTCAGTATACCTAAAAGAATGTTAGCATGTCTCATGTCCGTCATAAAGCTATATGGTATAGTATTATTAATATTTTATATATGGTATAGTATTATTATTTTTTTATACAAATTTATCTATGAATTAAAACACTTTTCAAGAAATATAGTATAACTATGATTTCAAATGTTATAATTATCGCAAATTCTTTATACGATTTTTTTAAGGTTCTACCGGGATATTCGCCAAAGTTCCAATCAAGCATCCGAATGAACAAGACTTTTATATTAAGCTATTAGGCTTTTACGAGCTGACTATGTTGGATGAGTATCCACCCGAAGCCATTATTTTAGGACGAGCTTTTTATTAATAGGAGAATATGAATAAAATTTTCTTTGCATCCCCTCCTCCTTGAAAAACCCTCTTTTAAGGATTTAAGATTATTACAACACAAACTATATAATTGCTTCTTACTCAATTTGTTAAAAATATGGAAAATCTCGAAATACAATTTTCGTCTTTAATGCATCCTAATATGTTGCAACAAATTTTACATCCTTATAGAGTGTCTTTATGATAATATTAGAATGATTTTGGTTTGCAAATGATGAAAACCATATCCAGCAAGAAATTAATATTTGTATTTCGAAGAAATTTTAACTCTCTATTTGAGAAAATAACCGTTTTTATATCTTTCAACTCTCGTTGATATTACTGATTAGAGTCCTTTAATATTATATTCACTACACCTTTAAAATTAGTAAGAAACATGAGCATTTTAACTTTTCTTAAAACCAACCAAACTATTAAGACATGGGAAATTATATAAATAAAGCGCGTATTATTGCACAGCATTATTTTTATAATCTTTATATTTACAACGATAAAAGATATAATGTATAATTTTCGGTGTTATTTTTGACCTTCACTACACTATAGCTGTCCCATTTTTATATCATATAATTTTTTAATTGCTAGATTTTTATTACATAAATTCCTTGCATTATATAGTTATATAAACAGTTATGTAATATATATGAATATTTTCTCACGCTGGATACTAATTTTATCTCTTCAATTAAGCCTCCTAAATCTTAACCATTTATAGTATTTAAAATACTGTTGCAATTTGGAAAGCTATGTTAGTGATTTGTAAAAGCCTTTATTATTTAATAAATTAAAGTTTATAAATTCCCATATTTATATTCATATACTCTTTAAATTTAAGTATACCAATTATTAAAATAGTCAAATATCATTGTAAAATTTAGAAGATTTTTTTTACAATTAGAGAATATTATAATGGACAACATACCATAGATATATTAAAAAATACACATGGGATATATAAAGAATTTAAAAATTGATTAACACTTTTCATATTAATCGATCTCCTTTTTTAGAATAATAATGGATGAAGTTTGAAATATTATCAGCATAAATACATTATCTTTTTGATGCGCTATTCGACGTTAGAAATTTCATATACTTAGTTGTTAAAATCCTCTTTATGCGGAATAATAGCCTTTGATATCTAAAATTGTATTTTAACAAATACAAATTAGCAAATTTTATATATAATTTTTTTCTCCTAATCCAAAAACGCTTTTGGCTATACATAAACGCGTAGTTATTTTTTTAAAATCGCTTATTTATATAATAAATGGTTTAATAAGAAAAACCTTAAGAAAATAAATATGGAGTTAGTTTTTATTTTAAAAAGTGAAATCACGATTTTAGCAACAAAATATTTAAAAGGTTGTTCCTCACTTTTTTGCCTTCATCTATCGTTTTAAATCTCAAATACTAATCTGAAATATTTTTATTCGTCGTATTATAATAATAATATTTTTTTAAAGAAGTACCAAAAAACATATATCACAACACCAACGTATTATTATTTATTTTGGTATCGCGCATGATTTTAGCATATGATGTACCTGTAATTAAAACGGATAAAGAAATTATTAAGCTATAAGAAAATGGAAAAACAATTTTTATTTTATGTGTCTTATAATTTTTTTTCTAATAAATTTATTTATATATGTATTTGTAATTTATTGTGATTAATTTGTATGTGTGGTAATATTTTACTCCAAATAAAGCATAACAGATACTCTAGAATTGTTCAAAATCCATATTAGTACTGACAGGTTTTAGAGTAGATGCGACAAATATTTAGAAATATTACAAATTTTTAAATGTATAGAGATCTAATCTTGAAAATCGGAAGGTGCTTAGTAAAAACAAATTACATACCATGCCGGCCTAAAAATAATTTTCTTTACAAAACCCTAACCAGGTCATTTTTTAAAATATTTTTAAATTATATCATTAGGTTGGGAAATTATATAATTTAACATTCATTTAATATATACATATTTTCAATTTCCCATCGAAACAATTTACACAATACAGCCAATATTTAATAAATAAATTTTAAATATATTGGCCTGGCTTATAATAAAAACGGCAGGGCCTATTTTTTTTAAAAATCCAGCTCAGACTTAAAAATTGGGCTCTGCAGGTCTAAGAAATATATTAGCTGTTTATAAATACTAAGTTTTCAGTACTAATTAAATTAATTATCTGATTTTATATTGGCAGTGCGGGCTTCTCAAGTTAGAGTAGAGAGATGTTTTTCAAAAATAAAAATTCACACTGTTTTCATATAGAGAAGTAATTTGACTTATAATATTTTAAATGCACGGTTTAATACTTTTTTTTTAGTAAATAATATTCGATATTAAAGAAGTTAATAACTTATTTATTTGTTATAATTTATAAATTAGATATTAATTATAATATACAATTAATAATACTGTAAAGTAATGTCGATGGATAAAAAAATATTAATTCAAATTAAATTCTGATAAAGTTAGATAAAATTGATGAGGAAAATAATGAAGATTTTTTGAAAATAATTATAATTTAAATAAAATCCCCCAATAAATTTTATTTATTAATAATCCAGCCCTCCTATCCTCGCTAAAGCTGTAATGAGCACTAAGCGCTCTTTATCTGACAAAGATCCTAAAAATCAGTTGTTAAAAATATACAAAAAATTGTATATTATTTTTGTATAAATAAATTTTTACTATCTACGGGAAAAATATAAAAAGAAGATTTATATAGCGAGTCACGTAACGATAAGGTTTACTTTTATAAAATGTAACGAGTTTCTTTATTGAAGTAACGTTTCCAGCTAGTGTTTTCAACGGTCCCGTCTAAAAAATGTTTTTTGTCAAGCTATAAAAATTTTATCTGCATTAAATTTATTAAAAATGAAAGGTGAATTACCAATATTTTAATTATATCATCAAATCATATTTATATTTTATACAATACAACTGCAAAATATTTCAAAAGAATATTAAACCAATACAAGTTTACTGAATATAATTTAAATCAATTTGATTTGCATATTTAATTAATTTTTGTTTTTGATATATAATGTAGATTTTGGTTATAAAATAAAACTGTATATATAAGTATTTTAATTATCTTCTAAAAAATTAGTTTGCAATGATCCGGTCTAGCCTTTTTTTCTAAAGATCGGACCGATGGACTGTTAAGTCAAGATCGGTTCAGCCCTGTTCCATCTAAAAAATATTTTTTGTATTTAGCTATAAAAGTTTTATTCTGCATTAAATTTATTAAAAATGAAAAGTATTAAATTTTTAATTATATCATCAAATCATTTTTATTTATTATACCATACAAATTGCCCTATTAAATTAAATTACTTGACAAATGAATTGAATGAAAAGGAAGATATAAAAATTAAACGATGAATGAATTATTATTAGTCATTAAATAATCATGTTTTATGTGTTCATGCATGTACATTAACTAAAAAGCAATTCATAGTAAACTTTTATCTTCTTTGTCGGACCTTGTTGAACAGGACCCTGCCGCCGGACCCAAGAGTCATAGTAAACTTTTATCTTCTTTGTCGGACCTTGTTGGACAGGACCCTGCCGCCGGACCCAAGAGTCAGATGAGACCGAATGAATCGGGCCGGTCCGACCGGGCCATTGTAAACACTAAAAAATAAAAAATTATTATTTTTTATCTATGCTTCAAGTGTGGTTAGAGATTGAACCATCTTTGGATTTATTCTATTTCGCTTTTTTGTTATTTAATCACTAGCTTAAAAAAAAATCCGTTCACATGCTATTGATGTAGCCTGCTATGGGAGATAGTCCATTGCTATATTGGCTAGAATTGATTCAGTATTTGAGACCCTGTTTTTATGGTATAATGCTTCATGATTATTTAAAACTACAAATTACGGGTTTTTTTAAATTACTATTTCTGTTCTTTTAATTAATAATTTGAAATTAAACCAATACCAATTCAAAAAATTGAAATATTATTTAAGCCAATACTAGTATTTTAGACCCAATACCAATCCAATCGTTAATCTTGGCTTTTTAATATTGGTTCCCACCCTTAATCATAACTATAAGTAGGTTTATTTGATGAAGTTTTTATTCATATATTTAAAATTTGGCTAATTTCTAGTGCTTGAAGAATTGGAAAATATCTGGAGACATATTTTACATATTTTTTCAGAATTATCTTTTCTAAAAAAACATCTTTCAAATATAATTTGATTTTTTTTCATTTGCACTAATACTATTTAATCAATAGTTATTTCACCCCCAGACAGCGTCTACGTGAGAGGATATGCAAACCCCCCTCAAAAATCTTGTCAGTCCCCCTAAAATTTTTCGCCCCCTTCAGTGGCGATATTCCCACATTATTTGATTACACCTTTTTAATGATAATTGTATTTAAAAAAAGAGGAACTTAGATGATTATTGTTCTACTACCAACTATCAAAATATTGTGTATGTAAAAGAGTTATTTTTCATAACATAAATTCAATTAAAAACTCCCTCATTTACAATGGCAGATTTAATTTAAACATTTCTATATTATTTATTTCGTATTTAAATAAAATTATTTAACTAAATTGATGAGAATATATAAATATGTTATTTTAACAATTTTTGCAAGTCAAATAATTTTATTTTAAAAATAAATTGAAAAATATGAAAATTTTTTCCATTAAATCTGGACTGTAATATATTTTTAGGCACGAATGTGAATTCACTGATAGAATTTTTAACCCTTTTTAATAAAAAAATGATCCCGAAATAGTTTTATTTGGAAAATAATGTCTATGATTGTGTGCCATATATACATTTGGTTGCTGTTTAGCAATATCGTTGTATAATAATAGCTATAATAAAAGTAAATTTCTACAGTAATACATTTAGCCCTATCACATCTAAAAATTTAATAAGTAATCCCCCCCCCTTTCAATTAAATCTATCACACCCTAGTCAAACACTTTTAAATCACCCTCTACCCCCCCCCCCCCCTCACCCATCAAATAAATTTGGATGCAAACTGTTTCTACCACTCACGCTTATGTAGAAGCTGCTCTCATAAGAGAATGGTGGTTCAATAATATTATCATCTTCTATGATTTCCATTTCAATACTACCTACTAAATTAAATTACCTGACGAATGAATGAAATCGTAGAGTATAAAAATTAAACAATGAATAAAATTATTATAAAATGTTAGACATTAAATAATCATGTTTTATGTGTTCATGTACATTAACTAAAAAGCAATTCATAGTTCTTTTTATATCGGTTTTCGGTTGGACAGGACCAGACCCTTGGACCCAATATGCAAATGAGATCAAACTGGACCGAACCACTGTAAACACTATTTTCAGCCCTAGCAATACTTCTTTTATTGTATTGTTGATCTCTTTATTTATATAAAAACATAGCTTGAAATATAAATCTATATAAAAATAACATTTAAAAAAATTAAGTAAACATTTAAAAGGCAAAATTAAACATAGGAGGGGATAAAAATAAGATTGTCATTGATACTAAGATAGTTCCTCAAAAAACAGCGATTTGAGTTGATTGTACCATTTTAAAAGAGGATCCGTGATCCTCATTAATTTGAAAAAAATTTTCACCTAAAATCTTTAAAAAAAATGATAGCCTAGCGTTGGTGTAACTATTGGGATAAAGTGAAAATCAGAAAAGTCGTGGTACTATTTTTTATGATTTCAATGATAATTTAGAAAAGGAATGCAAACGTAGCTTCAATTAAAATAGTCTTTTTGAGTGAAAACCTGCCGTTGACATATAGTGTTGTTAAAAACGGCCCAATTTTCAAAATGGCAAAATTACGATTTTATTCAAAGTAATATAATGAGCTTTAATCAGGCTATTTTTAAGATCAATCCGCTGTTTAGAAACACTAGTGACTAGTAGTGCCACTAGAGAAGGGGGGAGCAGGAGTTCGAGCCCCCTGAAAAATTTGAAGAGCCCCCTCAAATTTTGAAATATATTTTTTTTTATACCATTAAAAAAAATTTTTTTTGGAAAATATTAGCTAAAAAATAGAAGTTAATTTTAGATAATGTTAGCTTTAAAAAAAAAGAAATTAATTTTGAATTGAAAAGTTATTGTAAACATGATTTTTTAATAAAACGACTAATTAGCTATTTAGAAAACTACCATGTATTTAATTATATCGTTTTATTATATTCTAAAATTATCCCAATTTATTTGATGTTCAATTCCTTTTTATAAATATATAATAAATAGCAACTTATTACATTTAAATAATAATAACAAATTTATTACATTTCCTCCAAACATTTTTAAGTTAAATTTCCTCAATAAACCTCTTTGTTACGGTTTCTTAATGAACAACGTAATGCAGTATTTGTACCTGCTTCATTTACTGGCACAACTATTTCTGTAAATTCCGATGAACTTTCATGAGTGGGAATAATTGAATGATCTCTTAGCTGATCTGCGTGTTTCCGCAATGTTCTTTCGGGAGTTTCCTTTCTTTAATTACTCCCTTTCTCCAAACTTAGGTGTTCTCATTATTTAACCACACAGGTTGTAAAATCTC